ACTTATATTCTACTGGAGGATCCTACAAGTAAACAGACAATAACATACAAAATAATTTGAGAAGGGAGAGAGCACTAACTGGGAAGGACTAGGAGAGGCTTTTGACTGCGGGGTGAAACCAAGCAAAGCATTGGAAGCTAAGCATTCTAAAGGGCAGATATAAAGGAGGGCATTTCAGATGTGCAGGACAGTCTGTGCAAAAGAAAAGAAGGGAGATGCCATGCTGAGTTGGGAAAGAGCAGGTAGGCCAGTTTAGCTGTTATTTGGAGAGGAATGAGTAGTAAGCCCAAAAAGGTAGGCTGAAACCAGACTCTGAAGTGCTTTAAATGTCAGACCAGAGAGTTTGCATTTTATAGTAGAGGCAATAAAAAGCCACTGAAGATTCTTGAGTACGTAAATGACATAGTCAGACCTGTGCTTTAAGATTATACTGGAATCAATCTGATGGATGGATTGGCAAGGAGAGTGACTGGGGAGGAAAGGGAGATGAATTAGAAGACCACTGGAATCGTTTAAAACTAGAACTAATGAGGTGCCTCTGTGGGTTGTCCTGGATGGAAGAGATGCTATGGAAGTAGACTTGACAGGGCATGAGAGGCAAAAGGGTGTGAAGATTTCAAAATTAAACTTTGAGCTGGCAAACCAAGGTGACTGGAAAATTGGTAGTGCCCTTAGCAAAAACAGGTAGCTGAAAACAATGAGAGGTCCCTTGAATATGAAACGTTTGTTGTCATTCCATCATTTCAGTCATGTCCAACTCTTTGTGACCCCATTTCGGGTCTTCTTGACAAAGACACTGGAGTGGTTTGCCATTTCCTTCTCTGGCTCATTTTTACAGATGAGGAAACTGAGGCAAACAGGGTTAAGTGACTTGCCCAGAGTGACAGCTGGTGTCTAAGGCCAGAGGTGAAATCAGGAATTTGAGTCTTCCTGACTCCAGGCCTGGCATTCTATCCATTGCACCACCTAGCTGCCCCAAAATACAGAACTACAACTTGTAATTTTAATGGCAGTAGGACACGTAGTTTTGTATTAGTTATGTAGCCACAACTACACAGTCATCAACACACCCACCTTTCAAAACAATGTAATAATGATAATAGCTAGCATTTATGTAGTGCCTACTGTGTGTGACAGGCACTATTATCTCATTTGATCAGTAACAATAATAGATGTTAGATTGCAAATTCCTAGAGGGTAGGGAATATATTATTTTTCAGCTTTGTATCTTCCATAGCAATCAGCATAGTGCCTAGCATGTAGTAAAGTGCTTAACAAATGTTTGATGAATTGAAAGGATTTTAACTGAAGGACTGATTTTCTTCTTATCCCTGGGTCTTTCCCAATATTTACCAGAAAAAAACAGGGGAAAGAGTCACAGAATCACAGAATTGCAGAGCACAGAATGTCCGAAGTGGAAACAATGGTGGGTATTATCTAGTACTGTGGTTCTCAAACTTTTTGGTCTTCAGATCCTTTTGCATTCTTAAAACTTATTGGAACTCCCCAAGAGCATATGTTTACATGTGTGCTATCAATATTAACCATGTTAGAAAATAAAACACTTTAGTATTATTATGAAAATAGTTTCAATTTTGTAGAGCTCCTGAAAGTGTGGTCTTAGTGACCTCAGACCACATTTTGTGAACCACTGATCTAATCCAACCCCCTCATTTTTACAATTTAAAAAAGAGGTGCTGAGAGCTTAAGTGACTTGCCTAAGGTCACACAACTAGTAAAAGTGGCAGAGCCAAGATTCAAACCCAGGTCTTTTGACTTTAGGTCTGCTGACTATACAGAACACCCTAGAGAAGAGAAAAAGATAAACAAGAGTCTGAGATTTAGAGAAGGTCAAGCTAGGAGAAAGAAAACTTGAAATAGAGGAAGCAAAATACAGATTTGAATGGATCAAGGAAGTCACTATCAGGAAAAAAAAAAAGCTCAAACTGAATGTCAAAGGATCACAATAAATGCCAGCTTATCTTCCACCTCTGAAAATAGGCTGGGAGCACCTGTGGCAAGAATCCCAGAATGTCAGGAATGGAAAGAACCATGGAGATTGTTTAGTACATCCTTTCATTTTACTTAGGAGGGAAATGAGGCCAGAAAGACTAAGGAAATGGCTTGTACACAGTCTCACAACTAGTTAGAAGTTTACGTTTCAAAGTGCCATCCCATGAGAACACAGCAATCCAATAACACATCACATCAGCTTTTTTTTTTGAGAGTTCCCACTGAGGAACGTTCTCTTCCAATGCTGATTGGCATCCCTTCTACAATTGATAGAGTTGTCTGGGGGCATTAAGAGGGACTACAGCCACTGCATATCAGCAGAATTCCATCTTCGTGAGGGAGGCAGCTTTATATCCATTATACCACACTTTCCTTCTCTATTTTCGTGAGCGTCCAAAAATGAACACAAGTAGTAAGAAGTGGGAATTGGATATATAACTTTCCTTCTTCAGCATATTTATGTGAAATATCAGGTGCCCAGACTCAGCACCTATAGAAGTCATCTTCAGTTTCCCCAGAGTTGGAAAATACACAGAAGTCACAAGAAAGAATGGCATTTGGAATCAAGACTAAAATGGCCTATCTGGAAAAGCCAAGGGAGAAAAAGTAGCAAGCTCTAACACAGACCTTTTAAAAAATGGTATCACATAACTGAGATAACAGGAGGCCGAACAGTGTAGCAGCAGTGTGTGTGTGTGGGGGGGTGTCAAGAAATGAGCTGGGGGGGGGCAGCTAGATGGCACAGTGGATAGAGCACCAGCCCTAGAGTCAGGAGGACCTGAGTTCGAATTCAGCCTCAGACACACAACACTCACTAGCTGTGTGACCCTGGGCAAGTCACTTAACCCCGATTGCCTCACAAAAAAAAAATAAGAAAAAGAAATGAGCTGGGCAGGACAAGATATGCCTTCATCTCAGGCAAAGACTAAAAATAACAACAGTTGTGTGTATGAAAATTGTACCAATTGTTTAGGTCCACAAGTGGCTTTGTAACAATATGCTTTGACAGAGAAAAATACAGAGCTGTGTGCCCTGAACTGTCTGGTATTTAAAAACAAAAACAAAACGGGGCCACTTACAAAAATATTGAAAAGATCCCCTTGTTGTATATCCCTGTATGCTGTGCCCTAGGGTGCTGCCTAATTCTTGGTTTCCTCTCTGTCCAAGAAACTAGTCATAGGAGCATAGGTAAGTTTCCTGACCACTCTAACATTCCAATCTAAAGAGAACATTCTGCAATTCTATCTGAAAGTGAACAATATTAAGGGGAAAGGGGGGAAAGTTGGGCAGCTCCCTGTAGCCTCAGGGAGCGAGAAAAAGGTCAACCAAATTTACTTCTGCTATCATAATAGTGATAATAATGATTGATATACTTCCTCCTCGTGAAGAATCCCTGGTTTCATTGGTGTGGGTATTCTCTCTTGCCATCACATGCTATAAACCCATTACAACTTGATAGATGGTCTTCAAGAGTCATCATATTTAAAAAAAGTGACTGCACCCAAGCTAGAGTTGGGCTTCTGCCAGCTATGCTGATTTTAAGTGACTCCTTGTATGGTCTACTATTGGACCCAGATGCCTTTCCAGCAGGGTATGACCTGATAGAACTCATGCACTGATATAGCCTTTAAGAACCAAAAATCAAAGGTAGCTAGGTGGCCCAGTAGAGAGAGCCCTGATCTTGGAATCAGGAGGAGCTGAGTTCAAATCTAGCTTCAGACACTTGACACTAGCGGTGTGACCCTGGGCAAGTCACTGAACCCCAATTGCCTCACCAAAAAACAAAAACAAAAAAACCCAAGGGTCATAGATCTAGAGCTAAAAAAGTACCTCAGAAAGCATCTAGTCTAGCATCTAACCCTTTTTGTGTTACAGACTCCCTTTGTCTGTCTGGTGAAGCCTAGAACGATGCTTCTTTTTTTTTTGGTCTTTATTTATTTCTTTTTTTGTAAGGCACACAGCTAGGTCTGCGGCCAGATTTGAACTTATGTCCTCCCGACTCCAAGGCTGGAGCCTCTATCCACTGCGCCACCTAGCTGCCCCAAACAATGCTTTTAAATGCATAAAATAGAAGAGGATTACAAAAGAAATGAGTTAGAATAATAGTTTTCAACATTCTCCTACTGTATTCTAGTCATCTTCCTGTATCAGAGGATTTTAATGGAAGTGACCTTGCATATTATATTATTATGATGACAACAGAAACCTTACAGTTCTATTTGAGGTTCAGAAAACACTTTTCCCACAATTACAAGCATTACTCCTATTTTAGATGACAGAACTGTAGACATGAAATAACTAATGTGCAATCCCAAAGCTAGTGGTATTGGAGCTAAGACTCAAATGCAGGGCTTCTTGACTCCCAGGGCAAGGCTCATTCCACTATCTGATGATTGCCATCTCTTCTCTCAGGGATGAGTGACAGCTTTGTCTTCCATAAAGAGAAATTACTTCTTTGCACTTAGATCCTGATTTGAGACAGAGTACAAGAATCCAAAGCACATGAGTCCTAGAATCTGGAGTCTATTCCTGATGTTGGGCAGAGAGAAGGGGCCTAGTCTCCCTCAAATCTATATTTATTAATTGGGCCTAGCAACCAACTATACTGATACCCCCTGAATTTGGTGCTGCTTGCTGAAGCCCAGTAATTGCCTCAACTTGGCCAAGGGGAGGAGCCCTCAGTTGACAACTCTGTTGCCTGGAAGCCCCTGGGGCAGAGAAAGCAAAAGAAAACAAGACACTAAGGTCTCAAACCTGTAAAGTCCCTTTACGCCAATGGATATCCAGGAAATTTTAATATGAATACATTCATTTTTCTACACAAACTTGGTCAGTTACACTCACATCATCTCACTGGAAGGCAACCATATATAGCTCAGGTCCATCCACAGCTGAGCAAGGTTAGGAGGAACCTCTACAAAAGCAGCCACAAGCCCATCTCAAACCTTCCTAACCCCCCCCCCCCCCCCCCCCCCCCCCCCCCCCGTACAGACTGATTGACCCATCATCCCCGAAGAAAAGAAATCGGCCCTGAGATTAGCAGGGAGATGTGGCTGCTCAGTTATCACAGTATGCCTCCACAACACAACCTTTAGAAGCACAGCTGGGAGAAAGCACCAAACCCTCACACAGGACAAATCCTTTCGTTAACAAACAGCTCAGCTGTCAAGCAATTGAGGTACTTGGCCCACAGTGAAAAAGATGAACCAGCTGTGCTGCCTGCAAGAGCAAAAAGCCTCTTCATTCACGGAAGCCTCTGAGTGTCACTGGTGCCTGGAACCAGATATAATCATCCCAGGTAGAATCTGGGATGGGGGAACCCCCACAAGACAAGGTCACAGTCAACTTGTGGCCCCGTTTGGGAACCTGATAATTGAGTTTGGGGCGGAACCAGTCCTCACCACACTCACGATGTCCCTGGGCCATGACGATGGTGCCCATGGCTGGGGCAGCCTTCACTTCGCTGAAGGCATCAGCCATGAAGAGGGCACGGAAGAGACGACGCAGGCAAGCAGAGGTGCTGAGGCTCTGCCCCATCCTGCCCAGGGACAGCCGAGCCAGGTCCAGCTCATAGAACTCCTTGGGGCACAAAGCATTGCCTCCAAGAAGGATCAGCACACGTGGCACCAGCGTCCTGGCAAAGAGGCTCTCAAGGTGACTCAGGATGCCCTCCAGTTCTACCAAGGCTTGCTGGAATTTCTTGTAGCTTCTCTCAGCTTTCTTCCTCACCATGTCCTCTGCCTATGGGGTGGTGAAGGAAGGGAATGAACATTAAGGGCCCATGCTTGGCCTCTCCAATCTATCCCTCCACCCTCCCATGTTCTAATACCACCTACTCCAACCTTGCTAGGTTACCCCAATACCTAGGGAGTATAAGATCATGGTCTTATGAGTTGGAAGAGACCTTCTTCAAGGGCTATCTAGTCCAAACCTTTCATTGTTCATTGAAGTTAACTGACAGCCAAAGTGGTTAAGTGAGTAGCCCAAGGTCCCAGAGCTAATAAATAACAGAGCCAGGATTCAACCCATGTCTTCTTACTCTAAATCAAGCATTCTTTCCACCACAACCTACTTTTCCTTGTTAAAAGACAATGGACATGGTTTCAAACCTCTCAAATTTGTGAGGACATTATAGCAAAACTGTCCACTCATAAACAGTTCCTCGGTGCTCCACTTGGTTGAATGGATCAGAGGGCTGACCCAATTTCGCCTTCACTCCCATCTCTGCATAGTGACAATGGCATCAGAGTAGTGTTTACCAGTACTCAAAAGCCCCGAATAAATGATACTCTAAATTCAGATTATCTCTGCTGCCCTTCTGCAGCTGGTGTGGAAGCTTACTGTGTAGCACATGGCTGCAGCAATCCCAATTCTGGGCATTTCCTAGGGCAGTGTCTAGCACTGGACCACACCAAAACTTTGCCCATGAACAGCCATCATCCACAGTATGCAAGGCACTATCAAATTATCATCAGAAAGCATAAAACACCTCATAGCATGTGGCGCCTCTATACTGTGGCCATTCCTTCCATAAGCTCCAATCAGCAAGGGAAGACTCAGAGTGGTTGCTTTTCAGCCAAGGGCTTAAATAAGAGAAGAGATTTGAGGCAGAGAGGTTAAGTCACAAGTTGAGTCACTGGAATCAGTCATTACTCCTCAGGTGCTCTTTCTACACCCCAAAGCCTTTCCTTTTGATTACTTTATGACTGACAAACCATTCAAGTGAGCCTGTTTCCTAATCTCTAAAACAGGTGCTGAGGCTTTGCCCCATCCTGCCCAAGGTCAGCCGAGCCAGGTCCAGCTCATAGAACTCCATGGGGCACAAAGCATTGCCCCCAAGAAGGATCAGCACATGTGGCATGAGCATCCTGGCAAAGAGGCTCTCGAGATGGCTCAGGATACCTTCCAGTTCTACCAAGGAGATAGAGCACCCACCACTAATGAAATCACAGGCCTGTTTAAAAACTATCCTGCTGGTATACACTCTACTTCATGGAGCCATTATGGAAACTGAAGGAGGTGATATCTTTGGAAGCACCTCTCAAACTGTCAAGTGCTACATAAATATATGTAATGGGACCTGTGATTGCACTGAAATAGGGAACTCCCAGTGAGGGAACTCCATCTCCAGTGCAGATGGGTTGAACCTTTTCTGCACTTCAGAGTTTTAGAAAATGGGCTAGGCCACTAAGAGGTTATGGCCAAGGTCACAGGTATCAGAGGCAGGACTTGAAGCCAGGTCTACTGGACTCCAAAGCCAGTTCTCTAGCCACTCCACTACACTGCTTCCTCTCTTGTTTGTATCTCCATAGCACCGTATGCTCTAAAAAGTGGTGCTTCCACAGACGCTAGATTTAACACTTAGGAGATGACAGGCAACCTCTTCGGGGGCAGCTTCAGTAGAGCCATGGGATCAGAAGTCTGGTTAGCCATGGGATCAGAAGTCTGGTTGTAAGGTGCTATGAATCAAAGAAACGGAGGCAGCAAACTTGGAGGCAAAAGGCACCTGAGCAGCTACCTACAAGGACCAAACCATCCCTGAAGGGAACAGCCACTGGAATACCTCTGATAAATGGTCATTTAGCCTGGGTTTGAAGGCCTTTAGTGAAGGGGGACCCACTACTTTTTCTATGCCAAGTCAAGGATGGGAAGAAAGGACATGACTAATGCTGTCTGAGACTGAAAAAGGAGTTAGTTAGGCTAGTTAGCCCTTTTCTCTGCTTAATTCCCTTCTTCTCACCTTACTCTGGAACAAAGCCCATACTCACCTGGGGAGAGGGCTTAGAGTAGAAGACTGTGAGCTGGTCATAGGGAAGTGGCAGCTGCTGCCTCTGGTACATGATGTGCTTTAGGAGCTCACAGGCAAATCGGCAGCAGCCTTCTGAGCTCACAGGTCCTGGAAACACCACAGGGACCATGGAATCTCCAGGACAGAGATGCTCTGGGTTGCTGGAAGGGCCATGGGCTGAGGCCGACTCAAGTAGTTCTGTCTTGGAGGCACAGGACCCTTCTGAATCTTCAATCCTTTCCAACTCTGAAAGTTGGGCTAAATAACAGGATGTTAAAGAAAAAAAGTCAAATAACAGCCATGTTTATTCTTGTTTTCATTGACTGAAATTTCCCCGTACCCATCTCATGAATTGTCCAACTAAGGGTTCAGGTCCTGTAGTGTAGAATCTGTAGAATCTAATCAACCAGTACACTCCCTGACATAACTTCTGCCCACCCTTGGATCTGGAAAGAAAGAATAAAGCCCCTAGTCCATCTGACTAAGACTATGTAGGTGGTGGGAGAGTTAAGGCTCCAATGAGATCATTTAAGTACTCTACAAACTTTAAAATGTCATTTATTATTATATGTATTATAAATATGTACACGTGTATATACATATAAATACATATGTACATATAATGCATGTAGACACATATGCATACATATGTACATATTATGTATATATGTATAGATGTATATAGGAGCAGCAAGGTATGGCAGTGGATAGAGTGCTGGATCTGGAGTCAGGAAGACCTAAGTTCGAATCTAGCCTCAGATACTTAGTAGCTGTGTGACCCTGGGCAAGTCACTTAACCCTGTTTGCCTCAATTTTCTCATCAGTAAAATGAGCTGGAAAAGGAAATGGCAAACCATTCCAGTGTCTTTGCCAAGAAAATCCCAAAATCGGTCACAAAGAGTGGAGTAGGAAGTGGCTGAAAACGATTAAACAGCAAAACAGACATATTATATATGTATAGGCATATACTATATGTCTATAGTATATATGTATATGTGTGTGTGTCTATGTCTACATATGTCTATAGTATATATGCTATATATATATATTCTACAGACATATACACATGTATATAGTCAGCTATTATTATTATTATTATCATTAAGGTAACAGTGAAGGGGTGGGGGAAAGAAGACCCACCTCACAAACTTAGTTACAAGACCAGCTAGGTCTCAAAGAAATTAAAGTAGAATAGAGGGGATTGGGGAGAAAACAGAAACAAAAGAAGGATTTGAGGGGCTACAGGTTACAAAAGGGGTGGGGTAAAGGGTGTTCTGGGCACTGGGGAATATAGCATAAAGTTGGATTTTGACTCTGACTTGAGGGCATTTAAAGAGGGAGAAGCCAGAGCCGTACCCCAGGAGAAAGTAAGCTCCTTGAAGGCAGGGCCTGGCTTGCTGTCTTTGCATCCAAAGTGCTGACTTCGGACACAGTCTGGCCCAAAGGAGGGGCTTAATAGTGAACTGCTCAATGCTTGAGTGGGAGAGGCTAGGTGGACCTGGAGGGACAAGCGCTTGACACAGAGTGGCAGCTCGAAATCTCTTTGGTTGACTGACTGACTAAGAAGGAAGGCAGGGGAGAGAGCATGGAAGGAAATGAGAAAAGAGGCTGGACTCTAGGCGGGGTAGACATGGCTGGGGCGGCAGGACCGGCCTCCTCCCAGGGAGGGGACTGATCCCAAAGACCCAAGAACGGATTAGCGGGGCTGGGAAGGGCAAGCGGCAACGGCACGGACCATGATCGCCCCCGGAGCCGCGTACCCACACGCTTTACCATCGACCGCCGCCACTTCCGGCCTCGGCTCCGCCATCACAACCTCCTCCCTCCGCTGACCGGTTTGAATGAATCCCTCCTCGCGAGGCACCATGGGAAGCTACTACTTCCACTTCCGGTGCGGAAAGGGGGTGAAGAAAGGCGGCGGCGCTTTCTAGGTGTGGGAGCGAGGGAACCCCTTGTATAGCTCCGCCTTCTCCTGCCATTAGTGTAATGACGCCCGACACACATGCGCGTGTCTGTGCTCTTAAGGACCTCCCCTCAACACACATACACACACACACACACACACACACACACACACACACACACACACACACACACACACTCTCTCTCTCTCTCTCTCTCTCTCTCTCTCTCTCTCTCTCTCTCTCTCTCTCTCTCTCTCTCTCTCTCTCTCTCTTCTCTCTCTCTCGACCACTCCATAGACTTTTGTTATTTTTGAGTCTTTTCAGTCGTGTCTGGCTCTCCGTGACCTTATTTGCAGTTTTCTTGGCAAAGACACTGGAGTGCTTTACTATTTCCTTCTCCAGCTCATTTTACAGATGAGGAGCTGAGGCAAACGAGGATAAGTGACTTGCCCAGGGTCACACAGCTAGGAAATGTCTGAGGCCAGATCAGGAAGATGAGTGTTCCTGACTCCAGACCCAGTGGTCTTTCCACTGCTGCCTTATATGTACACCATAGCATACTACCAGCACAGATATCCCACCCAGGACCACCCTTCCCTCCCTAGGGAACTTGCACACTGCACCCTCCTCCCCAGACACTCCCTAGATCTCTCCACTCCCCACTCTGACACCGTGGTGACCTATATTGCTCCACCTGTCTGTCTAGCCTTATCTCTGGTCAGGCAGGTGGAGAGGTGGCAGGAGCGTTGAACACTTCCACCAATGACCTGAAATCCCCTCTCCTACCACTAGAAGATCCTGGTTTAGAAGGGCAAGAGGATGAGATGAGGGAAGGCTGTCCAAGTACCCATGGGGCAGAGTGGGTCGAATTATCAGACGAGTGCAGCTGGGTGGCTATCAGTTTATCCATGTAGTGGATTGGGAGCCCTAGGGGGACAAAGGAACCTCCCCCCTTCCAAAACCCATTCTTCATCCTTCACCTTGCCCTTCTCAGCAAGTTTGTCTGGATCAGTCCCCACAAGAATTCCATCCAAAAGGCTCCTTGGCTCCTCTAACTCCTCTGCACCCAAGCCGCAAAAAGAGGAAAAGATCCTCTTGTGGGGCTCCTGGACAACTGAGACTGAATTGAAGTCAACTGGCGGGGTAGTTTGTTTTGTTTTACAGATTTCATTTTTCCACCCCCACTAGCTCACGGAGACTGGGGGGAGGAGAGGGAAGAGAGGGGAACGATGACCCACAGTCCACTACACTCCTTGTTTTCTGCTGTGGGATCCTCCAGCTCCCCCTCAGAGCCCCAGAGAGCAGCACCAGAGGTAAGTCACTGTCTTTAGCTTGTAGAGAAACTGAGGCTTGGAGGAAAGTATGTTTATAATGCATAGACTGTTACAGCTGGAAGGGAACTTTGACATTTTAAGAGGAAACTGAGGCTCAGAGAAGAGCTCAATCGATGTCACTTAGCCAGGACTGTTTTTTGTTTATTATGTACCCACTGTTTGTGCAGGGGGGGCGAAGGGGAAGTGGACACTGTGAGTCAGCGGTGGGGCCCAGGAATAGAAATCTTGCGTCCTGACTCCGAGCTGCCCATTGAACTAACCACTTGATCACCCTGCGTTCCTGGTATCATTCGTTAGTACTTGTGCTGGATGTTTGTGCAACAGCTGGCAGCTAGGGCCCCGGAGGGTGGGGATAATGTTAAGTGCTGACCCTAGCTATTAAGTCAAAAGTCAAAAATCCTTTCGGCTCTTTGCCAAGTTTCTCTTAGTGTCTAAGTGCCCTCCTCCTCCCTGTGCCCCGCCCTCCCTCCAGCCTTCCTGGATCTGATGCAAGTAGGGCCTCAGCTCCTCCCCCGGAGGTACCTAGACTCTCCTATAAGCCTGGGTGTTTGGAAATAAACCTTGGTTATAACCTCCCTGATTGGTTCGACTTCAAAACAAAGGGGAGGAGAAGTTGGTCTCCTCGGGGGAGGAGCGGGGCGGGGCAGGTTAGGTTTGGATGAGTTCCACGGCTTTGGTGTGTTTTTAGCCTGGAGGGAGACCCCATAGGTTTATAGACCTCAATACCTTGTAAGGGGAGTATAGAGGGCCCCAGGCTGCTGAAAACAGCCTGAACTCATCTGGGAAGACTGGAGGAGGCGGCAATTGGGCTGAATGGCTGCTGTGTAAAGGCAAAGTCATCACAACAATAACAGTCATAATTAACCTAACCACGTTCTCCCACACGCGCCCACAAGCCCTGGGCTCCCTGACTCACCCCAGTGGCATCACTGTGACGGAGGCACAAAGGAGAAACTGAGGCAGACTGAGCTGCGGACGAGCAGATAGGATTAGATGCTTCAAATTCTCATATCTGTGAGACCCTCAAACCACTGGGTCCCGGCTCCTAGTCGTGCTACCGTCCACGGCTGGCTCAGAGACCCTGAGGTCCCGAAATTCCAACTGTCCCTGAGAACCCAGTAGCACGACTCTCATTTTTTATGTACCCCCCCTTCCCTCTACCCTTACTCCCACCTTAAAGCGGGGCCCGGATAGCTGAACCCTGCACCACCCCACTCAGAAGTGTGTGTTGTGTGCGTGTGTAGATGAATAGAGCGAGCTTTGTAATTTATTGGGGCGCCCTCCCTTTGGAAGGTTAAGGAAAAAAGTCTCTTGGAATACGGGGGATAGTCGAGGTGAGACTACAATTCCCTTGGCGCTTTGCGCCCTGGGACAAACTTTTTCCCCACGGTCTTGCGCCACGGTGCCCAGCGGGAGTTGTAGGATGACAGCCTGTTCTTTACAGTGGGTGACAGTAGCGTTGGGGACTTCGGATCCCGTGGTGCTCCGCGGCTGTTTTCTGACGCGCCCAAAGGGGGTGGGAGGAGAGTGCCAGGGGGCGGGGCCTGTGCAGGGCTCCGCCCCGCTCTCCTCAGGCTCGGCCCTACGCGGTGGCGGCGGCGGAGGCTCAGACTAGGCGGCCGCGGCGGCGGGGGGGGAGGGGCAGGGGCAGGGGCGGGGGACAGCGGCGGATGGACTCGAGGGTGTCCGAGCTGTTCGGCGGCTGCTGCCGGCCCGCTGGAGGACCGGCCGGCAGTGGCGGTGGCGCGGTCGGTGGCGGCAGTGGCGGCGGCGGCCTCAAGACGAGAGGCGGCAGCGGCAGCTGCAGCGGCGGGGCCCCGAAGGGGAAGAAGAAGAGCGGAAGGAACCGAGGGGGCAAAGCCAACAACCCCCCGTATCTTCCCCCTGAGGTGAGGAGGGGGCCTGGGGTGGGGCTCGGAAGGCACCCTCCCTCCCTGTCCCTGCTTGCCCCATGGGGGGTGTCCCCGAGGGGCAGAGAGCTGAACCCCGCTCCTGTACCTGCCCCATGGAGGGTCCTGGAGGGTCAGAGAGCGCAGCGCCCCCTCCCTTCCTGTACCCGCCCGATAGGAGAGTCCTAGAGTGCCGGAGAGCACAGCCCCCCCCCACCTGCCCCATGGGGAAGGGGGTCCCGAAAAGTCAAAGAGCACAGCACCCCCTCCTGTATCTGCCCCACGGTGAGATTCCAGAGAGTCAGTGAGCATAGCTCCCCCCTTTCTGTACCTGCCCCATTGGGGTGTCCTGAAGGGTCAGAGAGCACACCTGCACCTGCCCCATGGGGGGAGTGCCTGGGGTGGAGTAGAGAGCACACCTGCCATACAGTACTTGTTTTATGAGGGACATCCTGGAAAATCAGAGCCCAGCTTCCATCCTGCACCTGCTCCATGGGGAAGGGCAAAAAGAAAACCCCCTATCCTGAACTTTCACTTGTCTCATGGAGGAGTGAGTAAGGAGAGGGTTGGATAGGGCGTCCCTCATTCTATACCTGCCGTGTTCTGTGGGGTGTGGGTTGGAGAGGGGTAGAGAGAGCACCCCCTTCAACTCCATGAGGGGGGCAGCTCCAGGAGAGGCAAAGAGAATTCCCTCAATCCTGAACCTCCTCTTGTCCTGTGAATTAGGTTAGAGTCTCAGGGAGAGGCAGAGAGTAGTACGTCCCACCCCTCTTCCCTCATCCTATCCTGTACCTGTCAGGGGAAGGATTTGAGAAACAGAAAATACATCCCTTCCACTCTTATCTACTTGTCCCTGTCCCATAAGGGATGATTGAGGAAGAGCAGAGAAAACACTTTCCCCCTTCCATCCTATATCTATGGTACGTGGGAATATGAGGGGAGGGGGCAGTGTTCCATTAGGAAGGGGGCTTTTGGAAAAAACAAATAACATTCCTTTACCCTGAGTTTTGGGACTTTGGTCAAAGAACCCTCTGTCCAAATCCTGAACTTGTCCCATGGGGTAGGGCTGAAAAAGGACAGAAAGAAAATTCCTTTACCTACCTTGCGCCCAAGAAGAGAGGAAATCTGGAGGGAAAAAAAGAATATGCTTGCACCCCATTCTGTATAATCCTGAGGGTTGGGGGGATCAGGGAGAGGCTGAGAAAACGAATACCTGGAAAGTCTCATATCTACCTTTTGAGGAGGAGACCAATAGGAGGATCAAAGGGGCACTTTTCCCCTTCCCAGCACATACCCATTCCCCAAAGTGAGTTAAGTGATCCTGGGGTGAGGAACACAAAGAATACCTTTTCCTCTGTCTTGTGGGAACGAAAGGGAACCCCTGAGAAGAAGCATATATATGCCTTGAGTTTCTCCATTTCCACTATGCCTGAGAGAACTGATTACAGAGGGGTGAATGTTGACAACTCTGCTTACCTTGGTCCTTTTGTTGGGGATAATTGTTACTTTGAGGTGAAGAAGACCCTGGGTCTGGGAGATTGACAACCCCTATATCTCTTCCTCATCAGAGACTACAAAGTTATAACCTCTGGGGGGAAAAGTCTGAATTCAATTCAGTAAACATTTATTATGACCTTATTGTGTTGCTAGGTCCTGACTGGAGATTATAATTCTAGCTGGCAATTGTATAGCACTTGAAAGTTTTCAAAGAACTATATGTTCATTCTCGTTTTAGCTTCAGAGCTCTGTGAAATTTCATTATTCTCTCTACAGATGAAGTGACTAAGACTCAGAGGGGTTAAGTTGTTTGTTTGCCTATGGTCACACAGCTAATAAATATCAGAGATGGGATTTGAACCTAGAGCTTACTGACTCCAGGTCAAGTAGTTCTAATGAAATGTAGTCTAGCAGGAGATATGATACATACATAGATAACTGTGATACTCAATAGGACATGATAAGTCAATTAAAGAGATGTAAATCAAAGTACTAAGTGATGTTAGAAGGGAAAAGGTTTTTTCCAGAATCACAGAATTTGAGAGTTGGAAGGGACCTCAGCAATCATCTTGTTCATGCCAAACCTTAAAGAAATCTCCATGGTCATTCAGCTTCTGCTAGAAGACTTCCAAGGGAGGGAGCCAATCACCTCTTGAGGCAGACCATTCCACTTCTGGGCAGTTCTGATTGTTAAAATGTTTCTCCTGGCATCAAGCCTACATGTGCCTTTTTGCAACTTTTACCCTTTTAGCTTTGTCTCAATACATATTGCTTCTTGTCACTAACTCAGTAAGTGCTGCTTGCTAAATGGTGAGGAAAACTAATTGGGAAATAAAGACACACCATGAGGATAGAAGTGCTAGAAATCTGGGGAATAAAGGTTAATGATTACTGAATGAGTGGGGACTAAGCCCCTGAATTCCTGGGCCAGCTCTAAGAAGAATGGCTGGGCACACACAGTAAACACTTATTTTTTTATTTTTTAAAATAAATGAATAGATTAAAAGAGTAAGAGACTCCAAGGAATACTGAGTCATGTTCATCAAAGCCTGTGGGGTGAAGATGCAGTGAGTGCAAAGTGGAACCAAGGATAGGTGTGAAGACTCTAGAGAAAGGAATTTCCAAGAAAATGGGGCCCTCTTTCCTGTCTCTCTTTTCCTCAGAGGAAGGAGAAAGAGATCTTTGGAGAGCATTGAGGTCTTTTAGGACATAAGCTAATTTGGTACACTTCCTAAATGCCTCCAGCACTGCTCAAGGGTTGAAAAAACCTAGAGAGGTTTTCAATGTACTTTTGTCCCACTCAGTCTCAATTCATGGCCCTTACTGAGACCTCTCCTAACCTGACCCTCCTTAGTTTGGACTTTGTGTTCAGAGTGGACACTGCTGAGCTCACCTCCAGGCCCTGACACAGAAGCTCTTACAGCCTCTTATTCCTCATTACATCAGTCAAGGGGGTGGAGCAGGAAGTGCTGACAAGGAGAGAGATGGTTAGATGAGCCTGAGGGTAGAGGAGGCTCTGACCTCTGGGAATGTCAGTTTAACTTCTTTTCTGGTGGGGAGTGATGACTGAAAGGAGGGAGGAACTCCTGTGCTCTGTCCCTGGCTCATTGGATTACTCCCTGGGACCTAGCAGGGCAGCTTTCTCCACTAGAGGGGCTAAGTCAGGGCTGGATGAGGGAGTTACTCTGGTCCCTCAGATGCCTCCTGCCTTGGCAAGATGCTGCATTCTGGGTCTTCTGCTGTTTGAAGAGAATAACTTGGACACTAGGCTGGAATCCAGGAGAAAAGGGGGAGGGGTTAGGGCAGTGTGCAGTGACTGCCGGGTCTTATGTTTCTTTACAGGCTGAGGATGGAAACATTGAGTACAAGGTGAGTCTTGGGTGAGTAGGGGAGTCAGGATTGCCCCTGACCTTTGTGGGTTTCCATCCCCAAGTTTCTCCTGAATCCCTAGCTCTTTAGGGGAATGGGACTAAAAAAGGTTGTCTTAGAAGGGACTGGATTCATTCCCAGGGTGGAAGTAGGGCTAGGTGGTGGACAGATTAAATTACTCTCAGTAATCTATAGGGAGGTAGAGGGCCCTGGTCCTTCTTAGGGTAAATGAGGGTCAATATGTGACTTCACCATTGTACCTCTCTGTTTCCCAGTTGAAGCTGGTGAACCCATCCCAATACCGCTTTGAGCACCTGGTGACACAGATGAAGTGGCGGCTTCAGGAAGGCCGGGGCGAGGCTGTCTATCAGATTGGGGTGGAGGACAATGGGCTATTAGTAGGGCTGGCTGATGAGGAGATGCGGGCATCCCTCAAGACCCTGCACCGGATGGCTGAGAAGTATGTCCCCTTCCCCACTCTCCTTCCTTCTCTCTGTACTTTTTTATGATAGCACTTCCCTGCCTTGTCCTTTCCCCAGGGGATTATGGTTGGGCTTCCCTGCTGCTGTCTTTTGACTAAGGTTGAGTGCCAAAGGTGGGGGGAGATTGAGGTTCTGGGGCCTGCTTCAGGTGACCCAGACTTATGGCCCTTGCTTTGGGCCTTTGAAGAGGTAGGGGAGGCCATGGTTATGGATGGGAAATAAGAAGAGGGAGAGAGCCATGAGTGGAGTAGAGGTATTGAAGAAACGAGCACCTGGTCGATCCAGGCTAGAGAGGCAAAGGAAGGCAGGTGGCTCTAAGTTAGGCTGGGATGGGGATATGCACTGGACTGGGAGTAGGGGACTGACCTTACTGTGCACAGGGTGGGGGCAGACATCACAGTTCTCCGGGAACGAGAGGTGGATTACGATAGCGATGTTCCTCGAAAGATCACTGAGGTGTTGGTGCGCAAGGTCCCTGACAACCAGCAGGTAAAGCCTGTCCCTTAGCATATGCCTCTCCTCCAAGCACATACATAAACATACGTGCATCCCTGCCCCTCTCCTGGGATCATCTCCCCTGGCCCAAGCTTCTTGGGGTGGCTTACTCCTTCCTTGTTGCCCCAGGATGCTTTATCTCCTGTCCCCAAAATGAAGGCAGGAGAGAGAGGACTCCTGACCTTGAGTTGATTTCTTCACAGTTCTTGGACCTTCGTGTGGCTGTTCTGGGCAATGTGGACTCTGGGAAATCAACTCTCCTGGGGGTGCTGACCCAGGGGGAGCTGGACAATGGGCGTGGCAGGGCCCGGCTCAATCTTTTCCGTCACCTGCATGAGATCCAATCTGGTCGTACTTCCAGCATCAGCTTTGAGATCCTTGGCTTTAACAGCAGGGGAGAGGTATGCAGAAAGAGAGGAAGCATGATGGGGCCAGACTGGGGAAGGACTGGGAGGCAGTAGAAGCAATTTGACAACCTTTAAAGGGGTGAAGAAGAGATACTCTTTCAAACTAAATGGTGTTTGGGTCAGGTCCATGCAGCTCAGCTCTAAATAGGAGAAAGGGTCAGGGTGAACTGGCAGCAGGGGCTAATAAGAGGGCTGGTCCAGGTGGTGAACTACAGCGACTCCAGGACAGCAGAGCAGATCTGTGAGAGCAGCTCCAAGATGATCACCTTCATTGACCTGGCAGGACACCACAAATACCTACGCACTACCATCTTTGGCCTGACCTCCTACTGTCCTGACTGTGCCCTGCTTCTAGTCAGTGCAAATACTGGCATTGGTGAGTACTTTCAGGGGCAACATGGCCTGCAAATTTCCTGTTACCCTGGGCCTCTTCAAAGGCTAGGTCCAGATGGAGGCAGGTAGGTGACATAGGGGGTAGAGGGCTGGACTTGGAATCAGGAAGACTTGAGTGCAAGTTCAGCCTTGGACATTTACTAGCCATATGACCCTGGGCATGTCATTTAACTTCTCTGTACTTCAGTTCCCTCGTGTAAAATGAGGGAATTATACTCAATAGCCTCTAAGGTCCCTTCCAGCTCCATGTCTATATAATCCTATGCTTCCTAAAGTCAGGAAGGCCATGGTCAAATTTGGTCTTAGATACTTCCTAGCTTTGTGATCCTGGGCAAGTCACTTATCCTTTGCCTCAATTGTAAAATGGGGATAATAGTACCTACCTCATAGGGTTCTTGAGGATCAAATAAGATAATATTTGTAGGGCACTTAGTATAGTGCTTGGCACATACTAGGTGCTGTAACAAAAGCATATTTCCTTCCCTTCCCCTCTGGTTCTCTCATTTCCCTTTCTTCCTTTTCTAATTCTTCCTCCTCCTTGCTACTTTGTGGCAGCGGGTACCACGCGGGAGCATTTGGGGCTAGCCCTAGCCCTGAAAGTGCCGTTCTTCATTGTCGTCAGCAAAGTGGACCTATGTTCAAAGGCCACAGTGGAAAGGACAGTGCGCCAGCTGGAAAGGGTCCTTAAGCAGCCTGGCTGCCACAAACTTCCCCTGTTGGTCACTTCTGATGATGATGCTGTCACTGCTGCCCAACAGTTTGCCCAGTCTCCCAAGTAAGTCTACCCCCTCCCATTTCAGAACAGAAGATAACTACTTCGTTCCATTTTCTCACTCCTAATCTCTCTGCCAGTGGAGAGACCATTCTGATTCAATCTACATGTTCTTCAGATTGGTGTACTACCACAAGTCATCCCCGTTCTAATACACCAGTACCCCCAAAGCCAATAGCAAACTACACTGACTTGGTCCAGGACCACAGGGGATGAAATAATGTATGTACTTAGACATCTCATTACATGCTTTCTACTCTAGGGTGGGCTTTAGGTGCTATGCTTCTTTCCTGATTTTCAGAGGACCATTCCAGAGGTCCTAAAGATGGAGCTAGGATGATAGTAGGGGAAAATCCTAAAACCTCAGCTTCTTTGTTAGTAGGGTCCTGAGGCTAGCTCAAGAAATCTCACAGGTACCCTCTACTCTAGGGACCTTCCTTGACTGACCACTCCATGTCTTTCCCTACAGTGTCACCCCCATCTTCACATTGTCTAGTGTGTCTGGGGAAAGCCTGGACCTGCTCAAAGTCTTTCTCAACATCTTGCCACCACTCACCAATAGCAAAGAACAGGAAGAGCTCATGCAGCAGCTGACTGAGTTCCAGGTAGGAGATGGGCTGGGGCAGGGCAGGGAGCTGGGATAAGTTTGGTTTGAGCCACTTGCCTTGAAGCTGACCCTCAAGGTCTACCCAGAGGCCTAGGAACCTCCTGGGCCTCCTTGGCCACCCACTGATGGTGTCCTCTTTGGTCTCAGGTGGATGAAATCTACACGGTGCCAGAGGTGGGGACTGTTGTTGGAGGGACACTTTCCAGGTGACTCCCTTGTTGGGGGAGATTTTGTTAGAGGGTTCCCTCCACATGATGGCATCAGGCTCCAAAGGAGGCAAATCCCCACCTCCCTACTGTGAAGCTGAGCAGACCCCAACCAAAGGAACTTACTGGCTTCAGGAGTCTATGCCTTCATTGTCAGAAATGCTGGAGGCAACCAGCCTGATGCTATATGTGGGAAGGAACAGCGTTCCTATCTGCTGGGAATCACACCCTAGGATAATTATTCTCCTGGACCACTGGGGTGAGGTGTGGGTGCTTGGGCCCTGGGAAAGTATCCAAGTTCCACCTAACTGGTCTTAACTGAAAAAGGGAAGATGGGAGTTCCTTTCTGGGATCTGTCTTTGAATCAGAGGTCACAGGTCTAGAGGATGATAGGGCCATACAAGGTCCACACTATTAATGTTTCAGCAAATTCTTGATCATGAAATAGTAATGCTCTAGTCAGTGTGGCATTCTCTAAGCCTTGGGATGGATTTTGCCTGTAGATTCTTCCCCTCAGAGTTTGAGCTCTGAGCCAGAAGAGGGCAGCTCCCCAGCTTTGAATCGAGAGCTCTTTCCCAATTAATCCCAGTCCCTTTTCTCAGGAAAAGAGGCACTGCTATCGAAGGAGTTTAAGTGGGGAGGGGGTAGCCCAGAACCTTGTGGGAAGCAGGCAAAGGGCCCAGGCTGACCCCGTACAATTGCTGCTCTGGACTACAGTGGGATCTGCCGTGAGGGGGACCAGCTGGTGGTAGGTCCCACCGATGATGGACGCTTCCTGGAGCTGAAGGTGTGCAGCATCCAGCGCAATCGTTCCGCCTGCCGAGTACTTCGAGCAGGCCAGGCAGCTACCCTAGCCCTTGGCGACTTTGACCGTGCTCTTCTTCGAAAGGTGAGTTGGGTGGCAAGGTAGGAGGATTATAGAAAGGGAGCTAAGATAAAAGCCTTATGGGTAGACAGTGGTAGAACTATTGGGGAAATGCTTTCAGAGGCAGTGATGTTCAGTGATAGCCTATGTGCAGAGACCTATTCTTACAATTACTGCAGAGAGACACAGAAGAAGCAGTCCTTGCCCTTCTGAATCCCACAATGAAAGTTCATAGACAGGATCCTCCACAAACGAAAGGGGTTCAGGAACACTAATAATCACTATGTACACCCAACAAAAACATATATTAAGCATTTACCATGTATAGAACATTGTGCTAGGAACTGGGTGAGTGATACAAAATTAAATAAGACATGCTCCCATACAGACCCTTGTATGGGGCTTGCTGTTCAGTGGGGATTAAGATACAAACATGGATAAGTATAATATAAAATATTACATTATAAATGAGGTACAAAACAAAGTGCCATGTGAGGTCTGATGGGGAAAGCTTGTTATTGATCAGGGGATTAGGGAAGACTTTGTGGAGGAAATGGCATTTGACTTGACTTTTTAAAGGGGTGGGTAAAAAATAGGGAAAAAGGACACTGCAGAAACAGGGAATATCATGAGCAGAAGCACAGATGGGAGCTTTCGAGGGGTGTTCAAGGGGGTAGAGAGCAATCTAGGTTGGACTAGATTATAGAATACATGGAAAGAAGTGATACGAAATAAAGCTAGAAAGGTTGGGTAGTGCCAAACTTTGGAGAGCTTTTAATTCCAGGAAGAAGCAGTAGGGATGCACTGAAGATTTGTGAGCAGAGGAGGGACATGACCAAATCTAAGAGATTAATCTGGTGTGAAGGATGAATTGGAAGGAAAAGAGATCTCAACAAGTGTGAATTAATATAGTGCAAACTAAATGTCCTATTACTGTCCTAGAAATGCAGAGAGTAAAGAAGTGATTAGAATGATGAGGAGGTAGGAAGGCTTCCTATAGCAGGTGAGTTTTAAGCAGTAAGCTCTTCTAAAATCTTGAGTTGAGACTTAGGAAAAAGGAACTATGCAAGGGCTTTTGATGGTGAAAAGTGGGAGGATGTAATTTGGAGTCTGTCCCACCTGGGCCTGGGTGACCTCTGCTTCTACAGGGCATGGTGATGGTGAGCCCTGAGATGAACCCCACTATCTGCTCAGTGTTTGAGGCAGAGATTGTCCTACTGTTCCATGCCACCACCTTCCGGCGTGGCTTCCAGGTGACTGTGCACGTGGGCAATGTGCGTCAGACAGCTGTAGTGGAGAAGATCCATGCCAAGGTGAGTGGCGCCCAATTATTCCTTGATTCCTTAGGGGATGCCCTAGGCTTGCAAAAGCATCTCTTACTTCTGAGAGTGGACAGATATTCCCATGAGGTGGGTAGAACCTGAGCAATATTCACTGTGGGTAGAGCTGAATAGGCCCCATAGCTCTCCAACTAGGTCAAGATCTGCTGGCCAGCACCAGTAACTGCATATCTGCTGTAGGACAAGCTGCGGACCGGGGAGAAGGCAGTAGTGCGCTTCCGCTTCCTGAAACACCCAGAGTACCTGAAGGTGGGTGCCAAGCTGCTGTTCCGAGAGGGTGTCACCAAAGGCATCGGCCATGTCACCGACGTGCAAGCTATTGCAGCAGGAGAGGCCCAGGCCAGGTTGGGCTTCTGAACTACCCCAGGCAAGGGGCATCTTCTTTGCTGTCCCTACAATATACAAGGTGACTTCAGACCACGCTGCTCCCAGTGGCAGCTCTGTGTGTTAATAGCCTGGGGGAGGGGGCATTTCCTGCCAGTTGCTTCTCCTAGCACCTCTGGAGTGGTGCCCAACTTGGTGTGGCTAGGAGAAGGAGAGTCCTGTGAGAGAAGACAGGAAAACTCAGGGTATTGGCTTAGGGCTGTGCTCCAGGCCTGGCTCTTCCAACTCGGCCAGACCGTGGCTCTTCTGCTGGGGCCTTGGAAAAGGCCACTTTGGCCACTTTCAGCCATACCTTTTCAGTGATTTTGGACTGGGTCTAATCTCCCAGTATGATCTGGGCTTCTTGGAAACAGTTGCAGCTTGGGGTGATTCTCAGGAGGGAGCCCATTTTCTAGTCCTCAGGGCTATATAAAGTTTCCAACAGAGGCCAGTTCCATCTGACTGTGGACAAAAGACATGTCACCATGTCTGCCTGGAGCCCAAGGTCCAAAAGGGTAAGGAGTGACATGTGGACAGTGAATTTTACTGCTCACATTTTGTGCCAGGGCCTAATGGTCCGTCCCCAACTTCCTCTTATTCCCTGTTTTAGGGACCTCCGTCACTCCATCCTCATCCCTAACAAGCCCCACAGGTGCTATTATTTATCAGGCTGGTCCAGGGCTTGACATACTAAGGGTCAGCTGCATGTCAGTCATGGTCTTGTCCACCCTCTCCCTCTGCAGTTTTTTGTTTTTTTGTTATGGATCGGACATGTTTTGCTTTATAAAAATGGGTGACAGGGTACTGGGAGTTCTAGCTCCCCTGTCAACCTTTACCCCTTCCTGCTTCCAAGCAGCCCCATCACCCACTGTTCTGTTTGTTTGCAGTGATCCTATCCTGCCTGTTGTTGCAGGCAACCTTCCCCTTTCCCCAAAGAAGTGGAGGGTTGTTCACGTCCCCTGCTCTAGCAAGGGACTTCCTCTTTCCCCATTGTTGATGTCCTGGGTTCCCAAGGGCTCAGGGATCATTTGTTGTTTGAAGTTTCTCTGAATCTCTCTCTCTATATATATACACATATACATATGTATATATATATATATATGTATATATATATATTGTACAGAATAAATATGTTTTATTGAATGAGCTGTGCTGATGATTAGGTTGTGGATCGCCTCTGAGGGTAGAAGGGAACAGGATTGCCCATCAGGCCTAACAGGTGTTCCTAGATAGTATAATTAAGTGGGCTAGTAACACAGGACTTCAGTTACCCTGGAACTGCAGAGAAGCAGAGGTAGTAAATGAATAGAAAATGAAAGCTGAACCAGGCAGCAGTTCTGCATTCCAAAACAGCTGCTTCTTCTCTCTCTAGTGACATCAAAGACATTAAACAGCCCCTGAAATCTATGCCGGCAGAGAGACATTTTGAGATTGGGGTAAGAGAATTTGTCTTGACCCTTCTCACTAGTGCCAGATCAGTTCAGAATGACCTGTGGAAGCAAAATGTGTCAGTGTGTGAGTCCAGTACAAGTTCAGGAGTTGAAGGACAGCCTGGAAGGATTATATTCTATCCTACTATGGCAGAGGCTGAATGAGGACTATCTTGTCTTTCTCTGTGCATTGATTGCCACCTGTATCTTTCTCTTTCTGAGATCAAGTCTGAGCTTCTATATTTTATAGATGAAAAAATGAGGCCTGGGTCAAAGGGTAAATGACCAAGCACTCGGAGTGCTTTGTGAGCTTTTTTAGAAGGTCCTATAAAATGTCTAATAAAAAATGAATACAACCTGCCTCCTGCCGCAGGGCCCTGCTCAGCCTCTGGGCTGGGGGAGAGGAGACAAGCTGGGAGGGAGGAGACTTGTTCCGTCACCTCAGGGGCAGCTAGGCTTTAAAAACATTAGTGGTTTAACTCTATGTGTATGAAGATATAGGCTGTGGTTGGCTACTTCCTGGGAGGAGGGTAGAGCAGCCTGAGAGCCCAGAAGTAGGGAGATGGCATCTGGAAAGAGGAAACAAGCTCTGACCACCCCGACCCCGCATCTCCTCCACCCTAGCCATGACTAGCCTGGCTCCCAGCCAACACTACGGACAGGGAAACTGAAAGCCAGAATTGTTCTTTATTTGAGGCTACCTTCTTTTATGTCTAGCACCATTAGACTCCTTAATTCTTTGCAGTTGTGACAGATGGTAGGTACCTAGGCACACAAACCTAGAAACAACTGGTTTCTGCTCCATTCTTTTCCATATTATGTCTTTTTTTAAGTTTATTTTTAGTTTTCAACATTCACTTCCACAGGATTTTGAGTTCCAAATTTTTTCCCCATCTTGTCCCTCTCCCCACCCCAAGGCAGCATGCATTCTGTATACCTCTTCCCCTAATCTGCCCTCCTTTCTATCTCCCTTCTCTCATCCCCTTCCCCTTCTGTTTTCCTGTAAGGCAGGATAAGATTTCTATACCCCATTGCCTGTATATCTTATTTCCCAATTACATGTGAAAACAATTTTTAACATTTGTTTTTAAAACTTTGGGTTCTAAATTTTCTCCCCTTCCTCCCTCCCCCACCCACCCTCATTGAGAAGGCAAGCAAGTTGATACAGATTATACATGTGTAGTCATGCAAAACACTTCCATAGTAGTCAGGTTGTGAAAAACTAACCATATTTCCCTTCATCCTATCCCGCCCCCATTTATTCTATTCTCTTTTGACCCTGTCCCTCCTCAAAAGTGTTTGCTTCTGATCACCCCTTCCCCCAGTCTGCCCTCTGCTCTATCATCCCCCCCCCATCTCTTATCCCCTTCTGTAGGGTAAGATAGATTTCCATACACAATTGATTTCCACATTATTTCTATTAGTTCCACTGACAGGAGTAGAAAATTGTAGTGTTATTATCAATCTAAGAGATCCAGCTCTAGATAGCTTACTGTCTAGCCCAACAGGTGAATGCCAATAGGTCAATCCTTTGGCAGAAGGACTTCTCTGGACTTCTCTCTTTAAGATTGTGTTTTACTCATTCATATCCAGAAAAACAAGCTCAGTAAATATGCAAACTGGTTTTTACATCTGTGAACCCCTATGGGTCCATTCTGTGTCTGATTGTGTGATGTGCTATTCAACCTATTATTTCCTGTCCTGATGCTGTGTACCCAGTGATTCAAAGATTTGCAATTTCACTGGTCTAATGGTACTCCTTCCACTGACACAAAACATAACCCCTCTATAATTTAAATTGTTGAGAGCTGTTACAATCGTGAATCCCAGAACTTCAGTTGGAAGCCCCTGTCTAGGCCAACTTATAGGAATCCTCATTCTAACTTTTGTTATTCAGTCGTTTTTTCAGTCATGTCTGACTCTTCATGACCCTTTGGGGTTTTCTTTGTAGAGATACTGGAGTGATTTGCCATTTCTTTCTCCATGTCATTTTACAGATGAGGAAACTGAGGCAAACAGGGTTAAGTGACTTGCCCAAGGTCACACAGCTAGTGTCTGAGCCTAGATTTGAACTCAGGAAGATGAGTCTTTCTGACTCCAGCCCTTCCACTCTACTGGGCCATCTAGCTACCCTCTTCCATTATAATTTATTGTAACTTACTCAAATGAGGTCATTCAGTCTTTGTATGAAGAGCTCCGAGGAGGAAGAGTCCATCACCTGCTGATTTAGGCTATTCCACTTTTAGTAGCCAGCTCTAATTTTAAGGAAGTTTTTTCTAACATAAAGCCTAAATTTCCCTTTCTGAAATTTCCACTCATTGTTCCTGGTTCTGCCCTCTGGGTCCAAACAACTTTCTGTTTTCCATCCATTTGACAGCTCTTCAGACAATTGAAAACTGTCATGCCCTCCTTGGGTCTTCTCCAAATATCCCCAGGTCTTTCAGTATCCTCATGGACATGAACTCACCATCCTGGTTTTCTTCTCCTGGACAGTCTGCAACTTATCAGTGTCTTTAAACTGTAGTGTCCCAAACTGAACACAGTGTTCCAGACTGGTCTAACCAGGGCAGAGTACAGCTAAGAAACTCTTACTGCTCAGTGTAGCCCAAGATCCCATCAGCCTTTTAGGCTGCCACATCATACTAACAGAAATAGCTAGGTGGCACAGTGCATAGAGCACTGGGCCGCTGGAATCAGGACAACTTGAGTTCAAATCTAGCCTCAGATGTTAGCTGTGTGTACCTGATCAAGTCAATTAACCTCTTTCTGCCCTAGTTTCCTTTACTATAAAATGGTGATGATAATAAACGGACCTGCTCCAAGGGTGGTTGTGAGGATTAAATATTTGTACAGCACTTAGCATAGTACCTGGCACATAGTAGGCACACACTTAATCATATTTCCTTCCTGACAACTCATTAAGCTTGTAGTCCCTCAGCTCTTTTTCAGACATATTACTAATCAAACCTTCCCCACCCTGTGCTTGGAGAATTGATTTTTTTTAAACCCAAGATGTTACATTTATCTCTCTTAATTTTTATCTTTTTTTTACATTAATTTTTTTATTTTTAGTTTTCAGCATTCAGTTCCACAAGATTTTGAGTTCCAAATTTTCTCTCCATCTCTTCCTTCCCCCTTCCCCAAGACAGTGTGCATTCTGAATACTCCTTTCCCCAATCTGCCCTCCCTTCTATCACATCCCTCACCCTCCCCTCCCCACTTCTCTTATCTCGTTCCCCATCTATTTTCCTGTAGGGCAGGATAGATTTCTATACCCCATTGCCTGTATATCATTTCCAAGTTCTCAATTTTTATTTTATTAGATTCAGTCCAATACTAGCCTGTCGAGATCTGTTTGGATCTTAATTCAATCATCTGCTGAACTAGCTATCTCTCCCAGCTTTGTGTTATTTGAAAACTTGATGAAATTGCAGATATTCAACAAAATACTCAGATTAACTAACTATATCTCATCTATAACTCCTGACAGTTGTCAGGTCCAATCACTTTAATCCTTACTTATTAAATACTTATTAAACACCTACTAAATGCAAGATACCTAGTAGGTGCTAGGGGATACAAAGATGTCCTATAAAAGGGATTAATACAAGAGATAAGATATACACACAAATAACTATAATGCAATGCAGTATGGGTATAGTAAGAACCACTGAAGGAGTTTTAAGTGCAATTAAGAAAAAGAGATTTCCCCCAAGGGAGATTCAATTCAAGCAGCATCAATTATAAAGAATTTCATGGAAGACTGAATGATCCAGGTCTTGAAGGATAGGTAGAATTTTGGGGGGAAACTTTTATACACTTTATTTAAGAAACATGTCTCGTTTTTTTCACTTCAAAGAATGAATAGCAAAGCTTAGTATTTCCTAGCCTTCCAGTCACAGGTAAGCCACTGGCATTAGACAGATGATAATTTGAGTCAAGAGGACTGTTTTAATCCATTACAAATAACAGAATCTTTTTAAAAGACCACTGTGCTACATACATATGCAAGACTCCAGGAAACATTATTATACATAATTACGCAAACTGATTTATAAAGCTAGTGAAATTATTAATAAGAGCAAAATGGGCAGAATTTTGATCAGAGTTGGGGAAGGAAGAACACTGTAAGCAGAAGAAATTGCTTAAGCAGAGACACAAAGGAAGGGCATGTTAGTATCCTACATGTGAATGGGTCAATTAGAGAAGCAATTTCTTATTAATCGCCCTAATTTGGGAAGTGCTGGCGATGGCAGGATAAGAATTTCTAATGAATACTCCAAGGGACCTCGAAGCCATCTAGTCCAATCCCTTAATTTTACAGATGAAGAATCTGAGGCCCAGAGAGGTTAAATGATTTGCCCAACGTCACACAACTAGTAAGTGGAGGAACAGGGTCTGGATCCAAAGCTTTAAGCTCTAAATCCACTACTCTTCCCATTGTATCCTGCCTCCTTCCTTTCACATCTAGTCCTTTTTTGGTATTTGAGGGGGAAAAAAAACACAACTGCCCTTTATAGACTTGGCCTTTGGAATCCTCTGTGTCACATGGATTAGCTTCTCTATCTAGAGTGAAGCCATGTCCCAGACTTCCTCTGCAGAGACTGTAGCATAATACCTTAAAATTCATTCTCTGACAGCTAGAATTTTGTTCCATTAAATCCACTATACTTCAGAATAAAAAGGAAAAAGCCCTAAAATTGGAGGCTATCAAGAAGAATCACTTGTCATTAAATCCTTACTTGTCATTAACTGGTCTGGTTACCACAGAAATACCCTGCCTAATGCCATTGATTGGTTCTACAAAACAACCTTTCAAGGGGCAATTTTAGTCACATAAAAAAGGGTTATAAATAGGAAATCAGTCAAACTACACTATAGTAAGCTTTCACAAATTTAATTCATTACTGTGGTGTTTGGTAATAGCATTACTATGAAACACAGGTTGGGGCCACCTTACTAAGGCATACCTGTATTTATCAAACACCCAACTGGGCACAGAGCATTGTAATAAGCATCAAGAACTTTAGATTTTAAGGCTTTGCACTAGGGTCTACAATTAGAAAAACAGCATCTTTCAAGGATCACCCATTATGTGGGGTTGTGAAGATAATTTTTTGTCTGTGCTAGAAAAGTTTATCATGGATTTCCCTTAAAATGCCACACATATTTCTGTTTCTAGGATTTCAGATAAAAATGATAAATCCTGGGCAAGTAAGCCCTAAGCCAGAGCTATCGTGTTAATGGCTTAAAAAATGATTCCAACGTTCGGGTGCCCTCAGGCCTAAGGCGCTTGGCACTTGAAGGCAAGGGGCTCTTGGGACTTCTCTTGGCCTGAGAAGGGGAGGTAGCAGGGACAACAGGAGACTTGGAAGAACAGGACCCCAAGAATGAGCTTTGCAGTTCCATTGCAAAGTGATAGTCCATGTGTTCAGGCATTTCCCACACTAATATCAAAGAGCCACATTTTTCACAGCACAGCTGGTCCTCAGCATCTGGAAAAGCTGGGACACTAGTAGCTACCTTGTCAGTACTGTCCGGAGAAGAACCAAGTCTACTTGGCCCACTCTGGGCCAAAGCCATTTCTCCTAGAGGAGCTGCGGAAGGTTTAGGTTCTAGGACTTCATGGTGATCTGGCTCTTCTGGAGAAAACTGGTTCCTGGTGATGTTTCTAGCCATGGGCAATGAATTTTGTGAAGGGAGAGGAGCAGAAAAGCGGTTGTGAAGATGTGGATGTGTTTGGGCCTCCCTATCTTTTCGTTTAAAGAAAGGTTCTATTTCAGTTGTATTGTTGCAACAAAATTGTAAAGAGGATTTCAGTGGTGAACTGGATGCAGGGACCTGAGTAGTAGCAGAAGGTGGCATGGAAGCCTCTTTGGCTTTCTGCTTCTCTGCAGCTTTTTGGAAAAGCAGCTCCAGAGAACCGGTGGATCTCTTAGTAGCTACCACTTTGGGGCCACTTTCCACAGTTTTAACATTTGAACCGGCAACATCTGACTTCTGAAGAGACGTGTTACTGCTCATAAAGCTGGTGATATCTGTGCAAGATGGTGGAGCAGAAGAAGAGAACTTCGTGGCACAAAGGAAGAGCATGGTGAGGGGAGGAGACCTGTGCAGAGAGGAAAAAAGGAGCAGAAAGATTATCAACAAGTCTAGGTTTCAGGGCTTAGATAAGTGAGGACTATATTCAAATCCCATATAGTTGGGATGATGGAGGAAAGAAATATCACTCACTGACAACACAGCTAATACATCATTACACAAATAGCATTGTATATTTTTATTTTGTTACTTAGAGCTACAGTCCACAGCATGGAGCTGGACTGGTCAGCATTTGGGGCAGGGCCTGCTAGCCAAGACAACCAAAAAGAACTAGCTAAATTCTAGGTCAAAAAGAAACCTGGAGAAATCGTCTCATCTATCCCCTACTTTTATGCAGAACACCTCTTGACCCAGACCTGAGAGACTCCCTATTCTTTGTAGAACATGAACTATGAAAGAAGGCAACTTTACACCACTGCTTAGCTTCCCATTACAGTATCCAATAAGTCTCACTGGAAGTTCTTTTTCCTGCTTTAATCAAATATTTTCAAAAGAGCTAACTTCCAGAGGGGGAATGAGAGCTGTCTTGTTTTTTCTTTCTGTCTGTCTTTCTTTCTGCCTGTCTTCCTTCCTTCCTTCCTTTCTTTCTTTCTCTCTTTCACAGTTGGAGTTAAGTGACTTGCCCAGGGTCACACAGCTAGTGTCAAGTGTTTTGGTCACAGGTCGCATTTGAACTCAGGTCCTCCTGACTTCAGGGCCGGTGCTCTATCCACTGCGCCACCTAGCTGCCCCTTGACTTGCTACTTTTCAAGTGAGAGAACTCTCTTATAGATAATAGATAAAGAATTGGTCTCCATCCCACCTCTTCCCCATATTGGCAGTATGACCTTAGACAAGGCAGTTATCATTTCACAGGTTGAGACAACAGTAAGACTATAACAATGCTAAGATGATAAGATACAGAGGAGGTGCTGATGTGCATTGGTAGAGGAGGCTCCTCACCACCAATAAAATCACATGTCTAGTCCAAAAAAACCTTTTCAGAGTATTAATATACTAGAGCTTCTGGTCAGGTGTCATGCTATGGGACAGCTTTATAATCAAGTAATTTTGGCACTTCAGTAATTAAACTCTCCTGGATGGGGTCGAAAACCTGGGTGTGAATCCCAGTTCTGACACTTACTAAAACTGTGGCTATAGAAAAATTCTCTGAGACTCAGTTTCTTTACCTGTAAAGTGGGGATAATATGCTTGCAGTATCTGACTTAAAGGGTTGTCATGAGTAAAGTGCTTTGTAGATATTAAAGTCATATATGAATGTGGGTTATTGTTATTAAAAACAGATTAACTTAAAAATTAATACTATTATAAGTGTGATTATAATGTGTTACCCTTGCAAGTAATTTTAAGCTCTAGAATAAGGCTTTGTATGAAAAGTATAATACAAATTATCAGGTATTATTGTTGTTATTTGGGATTTGAACATCTCAACACACAAAAACACTGCAGAGCATCCAATAGCTAACAGAAAATTCGGAGAAAAGGGCAAGAACTTTCCCTTTCATATATACTCTTCCCAGCCTTAGAGAGGAAGGCCTCCAGAATAGTGAGTAGGTAGATCCCCTTATGGAGGATTTGTGGAAAAACATAAGACAAGAATCACCCAGGATGAAAAGGCATGGATGCACAGCAGTCTACACCCACAGAGTAGTGGAACAGATGATATTACAGATCTACTTAAGCACACTTTACACACAGCCCACCATAACATCTGTATTTAGAGATAGATGAGATACTAGGAATCAACTAGTCCAACCCCTTTATTTTACAAATGAGGAAACTGAGGATCTGAGAAGAGATGTGCCTTGATCAAGGTCATATGGCCTACAAGTGGCTGAGGTGGGATTAGAATCCAGGTATCCCATATGCCAGGATACCTTTGAGATGCAGAGCCACAACTAAGGGAGAGAGTCCTAGGCTTTATCCTAGAGTGCCAATATTTAGAGGGTTGTACTTTCTCCCTTTGGTGGCCCTTTAGCCTGCTGTTAGATAGGCAACCACAAGGTCCTCTGATTGCCTACGTGGTGAAGTCTAATACGTTCAGGGTCTCCTCACTGTGATGTCTCTCTTCTGAAGCTCAGGATGAGGAACCACTTGCTGTATCATAGGCAGTATTTGCTGGGAATTAGGTGGATTGTCCACCCTTTCCCACCTATGGCCTAGCTCAACTAAATAGGCTACTCAGGACATAATCTGGGTATAGGTCTTTGGAGTATTATTAAAAGGTCATTGATGGGGGGCAGCTAGGTGGCACAGTGGATAGAGCACCAGCCTTGAAGTCAGGAGGACCTGAGTTCAAATCTGGCCTCAGACCAAACACTTGACACACTATCTGCGTGACCCTGGGCAAGTCACTTAACCCCAACTGCCTAAAAAAAGAAAAAAAATGTAAAAAAAAGGTCATTGATGATTCTAACAGTAGCATAACAAGAAATGTATGTATGCAAACTAATTAGCTACTTGACATTTTAATTTTATTTTTTTATAATTGGATATACATAAAAGCCAATGACGAAGTGGTAATTATTATATAAGTATGCAAAATAATACGTGATTTGATCTTCCTGATAATCAGAATCTTAGTATAATTTTAGAGCATTTGATTCAATTCATCAGGCAGGGTTAAATATGGTTATCAGACTCCACTCTTAGAAAATCCAAACTACTGCTAGGGTCAGAATCTGGATGTAATGCTATCTATATCATTACATCATTACAATCCAAAACAAGTCTCTCTTTTTAGTACTCATGTTTCATGACTATCTGAAGTTCATCAATAAGAAACAGAATTCAATCTGAGAACATTACTAGCCCTCACTAAGGCCTGGCTTCACCCTGACAGGAGGATGGTATCCCTGGTTATCCTCTCTAGTACTGGATGTACCTTTTCACACCCTGATCCATTGGTCCTAATTTTGGAAAAGGGGGTCAGAATACTCCTTACTGTCCCCATTGTTACTTTCAGACTTTTCCTTTACCTCCATCACTCAGCAACCTCTAGTCCTTCAAAGCACATGGAATCAACATTTTCCACTCACTCCAGAATATGGTAGTCGCAGTAAACCAATTTCAGGGTCATTCTCCTAACTGTAGGTATTTCCCAAGGTTCCTCTTCACTTTCTCTCTTGGTAACCTCATCAACTCACATGGGTTTAAGTATCATCTGTATGCAAATGACTCACAGTCATACAGGGGATTCTAAAACTCTTACACACACACACACACACACACACACACACACACACACACACACACACACACACACACACACACACACACTCTCCCATGACCCTGAGTCCAAAATCACCAGTTGCCTATTAGACATTTCAAACTGGATGTCCTAGAGACATCTCAAATTAAATATAATACATCCAAACCTCACCTCATTATCTTCCTCTAAAACCCTCCTGGCTTCCAAACTTATTTCCATGAAAGAAATTAATCATTCAGATCCATAACCAGGGTATTCTCCTGGACTCCTCACTCTCCCTCACCCAACATATCCAATTAGTTACCACATCTCACTATTTCTACCTCCATCACATCTCTCAAATCTAATCCCATTTGGCCCTTAGCTTTTTCCTGAGTTCAGGCCTTTATTACTTCTTATATAAATTATTGCAAGAGTCTCCTGATTGGTCTCTCTACCTCAGATCTCTCACTACCCCAATCCACCTTTCACACTGCTGCCAAAGTAATTTTCCTTAAGTGCAGTTCTGACCATATCACCCCTCTACTCAACTCCATCAGCTTCCTATTCCCTGTAGAATAAAATATAAACTCCTCTTGTTTAGTATTTAAAGCCCTACAAGATCAACCTATCTTCACAGTCTCCTTGGCTATTACTCCCTCCCCCACATCCTGTGTCCCTTCCAAACAAGCCTTCTTTCCGTGCCTCCCACAGGCCATTCCATCTAGGTCTCTGTGCCCACAAGTTGAGCTTTCCCCCAAGCCTGAAATGCACTTGCTCTTTACCTCAGCTCCACTTAGTGGTCAGTGTTTGGGCCTGAATGAATATAAATAGAAATTGTTACCATTTTGGCCAGAAACCCTGAGGGTCATCTCCAGATCTTCATCTTGCCACTGGACCCAGATGGCTCTGGAGAAGACAGTGAGGCTGCTGACTTTACACAGCCCTGCCTCACTTTAAATCCAATCCACTTGCATGTCATGCATGGCATCACCTCTCTGCTGTCCTGGTCCTCTTCTAGAACCAAGGGCAAACAACAACAATCTCCACCTAAGAATTCAAGCACCATCTTCCATGAGATTTTCTTGATTTCCTTACCTGCTAATGCTCCCCCTCCCCAGACTATCCTGTGTTTATTCACCTATTTTTTGCCATTATGGGCTTGTTGTCTCTCCCATTAGAATGTGGTTATTTCATCCTTTGTCTCTGCATCTTCAACCTAGCACAGGATCTGGCACATAGTAGCTACTTAGTAAATGCTTGTGCTTGATAGATTGTTTTGAGCTTGAGGCTAAACAGGAATGTGGACCCAGTTTACTGACAGATACAATTAGAGACACCTTTGAGAATAGAAGCAGATACTTTAAAGTTATGTTAATTAGATAGCTGGGAAGAAAGTTCTCAGTGTTTTTCCCTAAATGACTCCTCCCTAGGTGACACAGTCCACGTGGGCAATTATCTGTCTGCAATAGGCCTATAACAGCTATGTTATATTCTCAATCTCTTACCGAAATCATGAGAACGTAAACATTCAGGATGAAAGAGGGGAAAGCTGCAGTTGGACAGTTTAGCTTCTGGGGTGGCAGCTGTACATTCCTCCCAGAGTGCATGACCATTCTCCTCCAGGATGTGGATGTTGCTAGGCTGAGGCATATTCATTTACCATTAAATACTGCAGCCCACCCCAGTGGTGAGCTCTTGTACTCTCAGGGATCTATCTTCTTAATAAAGAGAAATGAACTCACCATTCAGCTTTGATTCCAGCAGCATTACAGTTTCTGATAAGAGCAAATGCATCACTGCTCATCCTGCGGGCATCATAGCAGGCCAGGGCACAGCAGCGGCGCAGGCTGCTAAGACGTTTGTCTCCTTGTACCCGGATGGTAACTGCCAGCTGTGTGGCCACTCTGTCATTCTGTGGGTAGAAGAGAAGAGGGAGCCAAAAGTGAAATTGTGATACACATCTGGATATCACGTATTGCACAGGAGATGTCAGGAAAGCCAAAATAACAGGTTGGTTTTGGGGGAAAGAACTGTTCAAGGACTAAAAGCCAAATATATGGGGAAGGAGTCTGGAAACAAGCTATTTACTGAGTGTTTAGTATATACATGGCACTGGGCCAGGCACTACAGAATACAAAGATAAATAAGACACACGTTTTGCCCTCAAGGAATTTATAACCTAGTACATAAAAGAAAATAGTAATAAAAGGCAATAGTGTCCAGAGGTACATATTATAGTGCAAACCAAGTGCTATTGAGAAAGAGGTAGCATCTGAACTGTGTCTAAGGATAATGAGGACTTTGATAGAGATACAGGGGAGAGTATTCAAGGCAAAGACACTGGCAGGAGTGAAGGCACAGAGCAGAAATATGCGAGGTGTACTCAGGAAATGACAAGCAGTCTACATGTTTGTGTAAGGGTCTGTCTGAAAGACATATCCAATCAAAACGCAACTAGTAGTATGGATTGGCTCCATAATGAAACTCATTCTCTCTATGGGCTGCCCCTATACTAAGTGAGGACATGTCATTACGGGCTCCTACCTGTGTAACATCTGTGGGAGGTACAATTTAGAAAAATCTGTTTATTGTATAATCTAAGAAGTGAACAAAGAAAAACTAAAAAGGGAGCCTTCCTTAATCCTTAAATCCTAAGCATCTGAACATTGCTGATGCTCATAATACTGCAGTATATTTTTCAAGAGGAAGAAAAAAGGGCAAAATGTTCTAGCCTAATGTATCAAAATATTGTGGCAAGATATATAAGGGTGAGCCCGAGTTCAAATTGTTGTTGTTTATTTGGCTCTTTGAGTCACATCTGGCCTTTCATGACTCCTTTTGAGGTTTTCCTGGCAAAGATACTGGAGTGGTTTGTCATTTCCTTCTCCAGTTCATTCAGATGAGGAAACTGGGGCAAACAGGGTTAAGTGACTCACCCAGGGTCACACAGCTAATAATTGTCTGAGGCCACATTTGAACTCGGGAAGAGGAATCTTCATGACTCTAGGCCTGGCACTCTATCCACTGGGCCACATAGCTGCCCCACAGTTCAAATAGGGACCCACAAAGCCAACTTTAAAAGATACTATAAACTGATTGAAGGATATTGTTAAGGAATTAAAAACAAAAGAGAGAGGAAGAAGAAGTAGTGGCCATGTGTTGAAAGAAAGGAAACAATCAAAAGCTAGAGTTATAAGGAAGGTGATGACATGGGAGAAAGAAAGTACACTTGAAAACATTAAAAATAACTGAGAAAATTTTGGAAAACTTTTTTAGGGCTCAGTCCTGAAGTAGACCTTTCTGGGAAGAAATTTATCTTCTCCAGAAAGGATTTTAATTGAGGGAATCTGTCTTTAAGCACTACTAGAGGCTTAAGAATACATGAATTTGCGGCATGAAAGTCATTTAACATGTGAGTACTATAGGCAACTCTTAAGATCACAAACTGCAGAGAAAGTGACTACTTGCATGGACAAAGGAAGTTCTCTAAATCCCCAAGTTCCCTATACCAATGAAATTACAGGCCAATCCCCAACCCTAGTCCTCTGCCACCATACAGCATTCTGCAACGTGAGAAAAGAGTGTCACCTAGTGGCCAAAGTCAGAACGATCCAAGCAAAAATCTTTTTTTTTTTCTCAGTATCAAACACAACAGCTGAGCCCCTTTAATATATGCACTCAAATCCCAAATTAAAAGATAGGATTAAGGTGGAGTCATATCAGAAAGTATTCTGGGGTACCCTGTAGGTTAACCCATATTTTTTGAGAAAAATGAAATGTTCAAATCTTTATATAGAATTAAGAGATAGAATATATATATATATATAGAATCTTATATAGAATTAAGAGATCACTAGTTCAGTCTTCTCATTTTACAGATGAAGGAACTGAGGTTTGGGGACCAACCTGTCCAAAGACACACAGAAGCAGAGGTGGAACTAGAACCCAGGTCTCCTGACTCAGTCCAGGTCTCTTTTCACAGGGCAAAAGAAATAGTGATGGTCTACTATTTTTCATATCTAATCTAACTCCAGTGCTTCCTACTCCTTTCCCATCAACAGTTTTTTAAGACTAATGTCCATATCCTAAGATTACTTCTCAGGGTATTCAGGGTTACAGCAGAGGTATGAGGAAAAGACACAACAGACACTATATTTGATGGGCTCTGTGAGAGGGCCACTCTGACATATGAAAGAGGCTTTGACCTTTAATAGGCACGTCTTAAAGATAATGGTGCATGGGGGGAAGGGAGGAATAAGAGCATAACAGTGCTGCTTCTGAACCTGGAAAACATTCAGCAAGGTTCTAGATTCAACATTTCTGTTTCAAAAACAAGCTTCCTAGAATGTCCCCAAACCCCTAATACAGATAGAAAGAAGAAAATGTTCCTTACGTCGTTTCGATCCTTGGTCAGTCTCTCTTCTAGCTCCTGGGCTAACTGTAGTAGCCACCACTGTACCTGTAACAGGAGCATTTGGGATTCAAGATCTCATGAGTAACAACAGTACACTTCCATCACGGGACTTAGCCCAAGACTTGTTCAGGCCTTCAACTGCACAAACACAGGAAATATCCCAAGGATCACTAATTCAACTCTTTATCACTAATCAATACTATTTTAGTTTATGCTAAGACAATTTCTAGATCTCTAGTATGTTTTTTTTTAAATTTTTAGACAATTGGGGTTAAGTGACTTGCTCAGGGTCACACAGCTAGTAAGTGTCAAGTGTTTGGTCTGAGGCCGGATTTGAACTCAGGTCCTCCTGACTTCAGGGTGGGTGCTCTATCCACTGCGCCACTTAGCTGCCCCAACTAAGCAACTTTCTAGGTGCTCCTGACATACTATCCAGTGGATTTCAGGCACATCACACTCCTGTGAAACTTAGCACAAAATTTCTTAGGGCTATCAATTTTCAACTTCAAAAATGAAAAATTCCATTTAGAATTCTAATCAAGTTCGTTTCATTTATTTTGGGGCAGAAAAAAATGAATGTAAACTTAAAATTCAGCTTAACAATTTTCAAGTTCTGGAAGGAACATCTATTTCCTTCATATTCTGCAATCCTGTAGTTTACTTAGCGCAATGAAGTTCCTGACTAAATAATCAATAAAAACCCCACTTCAAATCCCTGTAAAAATGGCATTTTCTGCCTGAGGATGTCTGCCTACCTGTTCCTGAGTAGCCAGGGCTGTTTTCCCTGGGAAATTCTTACTACAGCCAATGGTGTTGGGTAATTGCCTGGGTTTTACTGGATCATGTTCAATCCCTCTGCACATGGCATACAGCCAGGATCTAATGAAGAGAAAGGAGGACAAAAGTTGAAGGTAAACTCTAGCCCTTGGCCCATTTCCCTAAGTCAAGGAAAGGAAATTAGCATCACCATAAGGAAATTACTCAACTATAAAATAAACTGCTTACCCATTCTTTTCTCCAAAGTGACTCTGGAGCTGGAGTTCAGTGAACTGGGTTAGCTCACCCATATACTCCACTCCTAGGGTATCAATAACAGAAGCTCCCAGCTTTCCTCCAAGACTACGGCTGCCAAAAGAAGGAAACGGAATACAAAGATTACTCAGAATAAGGTTGAGACTGGTTAGCAGACAAAAGGATATCATACTTGGGGCAGCTAAGTGGCGCAGTGGATAGAGCTCTGGCCTTGGAGTCAGGAGGACTTGAGTTCAAATCTGTCCTCAGACACTTGACACTTACTAGCTATGTGACCCTGGGCAAGTCACTTAACCCTGACTGCCTCCCTCAAAAAAAGCAAAAAAAAAAATCATAGTTAGGGTCAGTGGCATTATGGGGAGAATAGATTTAGAGCTAGAAGAGACCAACTCCTTCGTTTTTACAGACAAGGAAACAAACCTAAAGGAAGTTCAGGGCAACACAGGTAAGCCCAGGGTAACACAGCTAGTGAATGTCTGAAGCAGGATTTGAATCCTCTCATTTCACTTACCTAGAACATCTTCTTCAGTCATCTCCTCCTGTCCAAATCTTATTGTTTAATAACTAGCTAAAATTCAACCTCTTCTATCACCTTTCCTGACCACCTCAGGTTGAAAGGACCTTTCCCTATTCTGAATTCCTATAACAGTAACTGTTAATTCTGCAATTAATCATTAATTGCCTTGTCTTTAATTAATTAAATCTTCTACTTATTCAACTTGTTGTGTGTAGATCTTCAGGGTGAACTTTTTGAAGTTAAGGAATATGTCTTGTACATTATGTCTTGTACCTCTTAACACTGAATAGACAGACACTCAATTATAAATTATGTTTTGATTTTAATTTTTACTTCTGAAAGTAAATTCTGAGATATTTCAATAACCAGGAGTACTTTAACTAAAACGTAGATGGGTGATCATCAACTGCAGAACAGCTGAACAAATGAATGTAATAGAATACTTTTGTTCCATAAGAAAGGATGAAGGGGCTAATTTCAGAAAAACTGGGGAAGATTTGCATGAACTGATTCAGTGAAGTGAGCAGAACCAGGAAAACAACTTAGACTATAATGACATTGTAAAAATACATAATTTTGAAAGACTTATGAACTCTGATTAACCCAATGATCAACGATGGTTTCAGAGGGCCAAAGATAAAGAATGCTATCCACCTTCTGATAGAGAGATGATAGACTAAATATGAAGAATGACACATTTTGGGAAATGGCCAACACGAGAATTTGTTTTGCTTGTGATTCTGTAAGAGTTACAAGAGTTTTGTTTTTCTTTTTTCTTTTCTGGGGGACAAGAATGGGAGGAAAACAATATGCTTATTAATTAAAAAATAATTTACAAAAAATGCAAGAAAGGAAATGAAATTCTTATTTTGTAACCTAGTAACAGATTTTGGCAAAAAGTGTAGTGAGAAGGAAGAAAGTTTAGGCTAACTGATGATTTCAATTATCTATAGTATTCTTTGTCCTATTACCATGGAGAACCTAGAATTGAATGAACATTCAGTCAAATGTGTTTGCTTTTGAAACTTTCCTTCCATCTCCCCTACCTTTCCTGTAACCTATTTTCCATAGGCTATAGACTTACAAAAACAAAAAAAGGCAAGGTAGAACTCCAGCCTATTTTCACGACTGTTTGAATAAAAAGCAAGCTGCTCCCTAAATACTTACATTTTACCGATAGGCAGATGACTGAAGAGTTCTGGGACAGATCCATGTGACACCAGAGTCTGGCGGTTGGGTTTGTTTATTCCACAGGCCAGTTTTGCCAGGACCTGAAGCATGGAAACAGCAGAGAAATCTCATTACTGTCAATCTCACCCTCACAAAATGCTAGTGAATGCAAAAACATTATGGCTGTGTGTAGCCATAGCTTAATAGTTTCCAGATTACAAACAAAAACAAAACCAGAAACTCAAGACATCTCTAAACCCTTGTATCTCACAATATCCCCAGTGGAAAAAATGACAGAGCTCTCATCACTCTCACTATTCCCACATTTCTTCCACCTTCAGCTTTCTCCAAATCCTCCTCCATAATTCTGCCAATCTTTTCCTTGAAATATTCCCACTTTTATAGGTCTGTCAAGAAGAGAAAGTGTAGAAAGAAACTAAGGTATTATTAGTATAGCCTTGTCTTGATAAGTAAAAGTTTCACAGCTCACTGCTGAAACGAGCCAGGCCCATAAGGCTCTAGTCACATTATTAGCTAGCCATTTACTTGGTTTCATGTCTCTGTAAGCCAAATGCTTCATTTATGCAGCATCATGTCATCAATTCAGACTATACCAATTTATAATTTGTGATTAATTCAGCCAGAGGCTGGTATGTGCATGCTCCTTATCAACCTTTTCTTCTTAAAGTATAACAAATTAATGATACAAATGACATTTCAAAGGGACTACTTAAATTTTCCAAGGATGGACTGCTAAGTGAAAACTACTATTTACATTTATTTAAGCAAATATTCAAAGGATTTACATTAGGCAATATTTTGTTAGCCTCATCTGAATTACTATATGTAGATAAATTTAATAAAAACATTTAAAAAAACATCTATAATTTATACTCTTTCCTTAAATCAGATTAGCATACCCTCAATTTGGTCTGAATGCTTAAGATTTTATTGTACACATGTCTCTTATTGGTTGTATTGGAAAATAGGGAGGGAAAGTGAAGCACAGAATACACATGAGAACATTATAATACAAGGAGGCAATAGGTATCTATAGCCAGAAAAAATAAAGTTAACATGCCAAACTTTTACACGTCAAGCAATAGTCTCCCCTTTTTCCTGAAAATATGAGTTTATTTGGTTCTGTTTGTTAGCATGCTGGGGATATCCTGAGGCTTATATTGAGGTTTCAATAGGGAAGCAAACAAGGAATCTATTTTCAAACATCTATAATGGTCAAATATATGCAGCCTCTGAATATAAGCTACCATTGCAAAAACAGGTTTCTTTAAAAGGAGGAAAATAGATATAGATTGAAAAACATCAACTATACTTGGATTTTATACAAGTCAGGTTTAGGGGGAAAGTGCTGCCCATATTTGGGCCAATGTGATGTCACATGTTCATAATTACCTAAATGCTCCTACCATTCTTGTTTCACAAAATTTCACAAAGACACCTATATTTCTCTTTGAAATCCCCCTCTATCCTTAACCATCACCTTGTTGTGTGAAATCCCAGCTGAGCACTGAAAACCGGTATGCCTCTCTATAGCCGCTCTCATTTCCTCCACAATCACTGCTCCCACAGTGAGCTGCAGGTCTGGAGAGCTGGAGTCATCAAAAGGAAGAGACTCAAGCCACTGGATTACTCCCTGCTCTCGTATTTCGTCTGAGAAAGGAATGAAAGGATATCAAAACAAATAAAATATGCTCAACCCCAAATCAATGTCCCTCCTAACTATCCTAAAAGGAAAAGCCATTAGTGCAGACGTGCTACAGTCACAGGCCAGTTTGCTAGAGTAAAAGATACTCAGATTTCCATAAAGATAGAAAGCATGAGGTACTGACAGATTTGCACTTTGCTCCTATTCCAGGAACCTCCGACTAGGAGTGTACCTGAAATGGCCCTGGCATTTGAAAAATTTTGTGCCTACATAACCTCTTGGGTAGGTAAACCAGACTCAAGGTATGGGTTTAACTTAGCTTGAAGAGCTTCTGAAAAGACTGAAGAATCAGGTGAGAAAAAAGCTCTATTTAAGGTATTCGGAACAGTCACCCCCTCCTGTTCTTTCCAAGCAGGGCACATCTTTACTTTTGAGAGAACATTTTTGACTCTAAATTTAAACAAACAAAAAAGCACTTCCAAACACATGGAACATAAAGAGAATTCTCTATGTAACCATGAATCCCCATTGCTAAATACATGTTGTCTTTAGTCTACCTGTAGATTGTCATGAACAATGGCATAAATAAAGTATCTCTCTTCTAAACACAACTCCAAACAAAGTCATTTCTCACCTGGCCTCCTAACTCCTATTTTCACATCTGATGTGTCCAATAAGAAAGCATTCAAAATCCAGTCAAACCACAGCAAGAACTTCATGCTAGTAACACAATTTGTATACCTTTAGAGGTATAGTTCACAACCCTGGTTCCAGGTAAGTGATTTAAAAGCCAAATAAGACACTGGAGAGATTGGTGAGTTTACTTTCCTGACATTCATTCCTAAATGAATAGTTTTAAAGAGGCAAAACTTGATTTAATTAATTTTAATTAACTTCATTTAATTCAAGGGGATGAGTTACAGGACATATGGAAATACTAGTTAGAACGAATAGAATAAAGAAAATCTAACTAAAGTCATTTAGATGTAGGTAGTTTAAAGAGAAAGGCAGTACCGAAATGACATCTAGAAAGCATGCAAAGGACTCACTCCTGCATTGGCAACTACTTCATTACCTTTGCTGCTACCACTCTACCCTTTCTCTAGGCTACATCTGGAGTACTAGCTGCCACAGTTTTGAAAGAACACTGATAAGCTGGAAAATGTCAGAAAGCAAGCACCCAGCCTATAGAAGAAAGCCTGTGGTCCGTGTCATAGGAATGTTTGGGAAAAGAACTACAGTATTTGGCCTGGAGAAGAGAAGCCTCAATGGAGAAATAATTGTCTTCAAATATTTAAAGAGTTGTCATATAAAAGAGGGATTACAGCTTCTTCTGTTTGGCTCCAGAGGACAGGGACAGAAGCAATGTGTGGAAAATGCAAAGAAGCAGATTTAGCATTTATATCAGGAAAAACTTCCTAACAATTAATTAGGCTTATCTAGAAATGAAATGGTTTGCCTCAAGAAGTGACAGGTGCCTCCTCATGGAAGGTCTTCAAGCAGAGGCTGATTACTGGTCAGGTATGCTATAGTGGGGTTTCCTATTGGGTATGGGTTGCACTAGACAGTTCCTAAGATCCAGTCCAACACTGAGATTCTGTGAACCTTGTTCCTATTAAGCTCAATGCTATTACTTTCCAATCCCTTTCTTCTTTCCATTTGTGCCTTCTCAAACCTCAACTCAATTGTTAACTGCCCTTCAGCCTGATCTCTCTTCACATTCTTCTTAATTCTCACAGAAACCTGGATCTCTCCAGAAGATGGTTAATCTCTGGGTCAGTTTCTCCAGGGCAGACTGTACCTTTCCCCATGTAACCTAAACACAATGCACCAGATTGAGGAGCTGGAATACCCTGGGCTCTGCACTGCACCGCTACCATCATTCAGCAACCTCTCCTCATTCAAGGTTCACCACACCTGTCTATGTCAGTTCATCCAGGTTCCTAATACTATAATCTACTGCCTTCCAGGTCACATTTCCTCCTGTCTTAAAGAATTTAGTACTGACACAAAGTTTCTAACTCCCCAACCCAACTGCTACCCATATACTTTGAGACTTAATTTAAGGAGGTCCACTCAAATACCCCGTGGCCTCCCAGTTCATCAACCTCCTTAGCTCCCAAGAGCCACAAGGTTGCTCCTACCTTATTCGTTATAGGGGCAATATCTATTAGGGCTGCCACATAAGGTGGTATGGCTTTTCTTAAAAGACTTAAATCAAATGCAGGCTAGGTTAGTTTTTCCTTAAAACGTATTGAAACCATCCTTGAGACTTAATTGGTACAGGAGGCTGAGGGTGAAACCACACATGTATCTTCCTGGTAAAAGCCAGTCTACAAGGAGTTAGACTACAGAAGCAAGGAAGCTGTGCCTAACCAAATCAATGCTGTATCTACACTGTGACTCAATGTATTTACTTTTATTAACTGTTAGGTTGATTCGGAATATCTCATTCTAAACATAAACCCGAATTCCTGTCAGGCCTGACTCACTCCATGCCTCTTTGTTCCCACCATACTTGCTCAGACCTCCCCTTCCTCTCTTCTCAGTTTTGACTTTACTGTTGAACAATTCAACTCTGCTTGTAAAATAATATATAACCTTCAGTAAATGCTTATTGGCTAAATGAATGAATAAGACAGGAAGAAGAAAGTAAATGAGATATTAATAGTTAGAAGAAACCAGCAATATAGCAGCCCTGGAAAGCTTTTAGAAGAGAAAATTTTATTTCAGAATTCAATCTTTTGAGAAAGTACATACAATATTCCTTTTATTTTACCACTAAACAATTCACTTTTTAAAAAAACGAAAATCCAAGGTTGGGCTTCATAGGTAATGTAGCTGAATAGAATTGCTAGGGTTAGCACAGAAAAAGTAAGTAAAAGTTTCAGCGTCAGATTTGCCTCCACTCCTGAAAGCTTCAGTATAAGTGTCAACCGCTGAGGTCAGTTACTGCTTCTCAATCCTGAGTCCTGTGTAATTTCTTGGGCAGGTGGGTGGTGTAGTAGATAGAGCACCAGGCCTAGAGTCAGGAATATGAGTCTTTCTGAGTTCAAATCTGGCCTTAGATACTTAATAGCTGTGTGACTTTGGCCAAGTCACTGAAACACAGTTTGCCTCAGTTTCCTCATCTCTAAAATGAGATGGAGAAGGAAATGGCAAACCATTCAGGTATCTTTGCAGAGAAAACCCCAAATGTGGTCATGAAGAGTGGGACACAACTGAACAAAATTCTAATTTCTGTTCTGTACCATAAATGTTCTATTCTATACCACAAATGCCATAAAACAATAGGTTCATGTATATGAGGATTAGCTCATTAGCATTAAAAAACAAAACCAAACAATACTTAAAACACAGTAAAGCAAGAAAGTCCTCACATTTCTTAAAATGTGAGTATCCCTCAAACTTTGTTTTTGACCCTACTCTCTTCTTTTCTCTGCTGTCTTCTCCTTTGGTGATTTCGTGCATTCCCATGGCTTCAGTTAACACTTCTCTGCAACTGACTCCTAAATCTTTGCCTCCAACTCCAGCCTCTCCCCAGAGCTCAAATTCTGTATTTCCAAATGGCTGCTGCATTATCTCCACCTGGACGTGCCATGAACACCTGAAAGTCGTGTTAAAACTTAAAATCCTCGTTTTCTTTCCCAAAAGCTTCTTCCCCCTAACTACTTTATTTCTGTTGTGGCATTACCACCTTCCTAGTCACAAAACACAGTCACCTTCGATTCTTCCCATATCGAAGTTACCTGATATGTAAAATGAGAGGATTGGACTGGATGGCCTCTGGGTCCCCCTTCCAACTCTAGAGCTTTAATCTTATGATCACTTTACCACAATTATCTTTTCCATTCATCCCCCATTTTTGCCTTTCTTTGTATCCCTAGCACTTAGAACAGTTTAAGCACATAGTAGGTGCTTTAAAATATTGGTTGACTGACTTTTCATTCAATTACTGAAATCACCCTAAATCAACTCCTTATTTTTATTCTTGCTTCCTGATCACATTCTAGTCAATCCCCTCTCCAGCCCATCCTTCACACAGCTGTCCAAGTAATCTTCCTAATATACTACTATGATGTGATTCATCTATTCAAAAAACCTTCAGTGGATCCTGGCATTAGAGGGGTACTCCACAATCTGGCTCCAGCTCACCTTTCTAGCCTTAGCTAATATAACCTTGTTACATAGCATATTCTTGTCAAACCAGACTGGCTTTCTAGCTTCTATTATTTTCCAGTCTTTTTCTGTCACTATGCTTTTGCTTATGATATGCCTTTATTCCTAGAATGGACCCACTTTTCCCCAACCGGACCCCACCATCTGTTGAAGCCTCTCCCTTCCTTGAAGGCCCATCTCAGATGCCATGTCCTTCATGAAGCATTTCCTGAACTTCCCTATCTTCCCTGATGTCCCCACCTCCATGCTGGCAGTTGAAGTTGATCTTTTTCATAGTACTTTGACTGGAAATCTTTTTTTGCACATACCACATTCTCTCTTTTGTAGCATAGTTATTTGTGTACATGTCCTTCCTTCCAAGTTATATGTTGTTTATTTTTAAATTCCCAATGCCTAGCACACAGTAAGCACTCAGCCACTGTTTGTTCAATTTAATTGGTTGCTCTGAAATCAGGCAGAGGTTCCCTGACTATATAGTCAGCTTTAGACCAATGGCACAGCTTCTGAAGGCAATTACAGAATTACAGAACAGTTTCTTCAAGGAGATAATTCCTTACAGATTTGTGTCTAGACAGTTTCCTAAATTTAGAGCCAACAAGCATCCAATATTCAATGTTTTCTAATAAAATGGCTAATCTTAGTGGAAATAATGTTACAAAAGTATTCTAAGAACATAAAAATGGTGCCTGTTGCTGACAGAGTGAAGGCTAGTCACAACATTGTTCTGAATGTAATACTTGTTAACTAGGATGAAAGGCTTTAGGACACCAAATCCTAGGCTTTGGGAAAGCTAATGGAGTCCTAATGTAAAAACATTTAAGAATATAAGATCTTATTCTTTGAACTTTCTGAGACTAAGAACCTGGAAACATCACAAGGACAAAATACAGTAAAGCTTTTCTTGTATTTACTTTGCCCTATAGCAGGGTTGGGAAACCTGCTGTATAGTTTCAGACATTAACACTCTAAGGTTTATAAAGATATTTGTGTCTATTATCTTCTTCAGTCGTCACAACAACTGTGTGAGATAAATACTAAAGATATTGTTATAATTGTTATTATATGTTATATTATTTTGGGGAAACTGAAGCTGAGAGCAGCTGAGTGACTTATAATGGTCACATAGTTTGTAAATGCTGGAGGTAGAAGTCAAACTAGTCTCTTCTGCTCCAAGTCCAGTGTTTTGCCCACTATGTCACCCTGCTTCCCCTAGTCTAATATATTATCTTAAAAAAACAAAAAACAAATGTACAATTGTTACTAACCTTATTTCATGCTTTTAATTTAATCAGAACACTTTCACATAAATTCCCCATTTTATCCTCACAAAATTCTTATGGAGGTATGAATCGCAGGTATTTTGTCCCAGAAATAGAATAAATAAATATCTTCACTAACTATTACAATGACATCAAGCTAAACTAAATTAAAAAGGGAAAAAGCTGCCCCAGGTATATCTAAAAGAAATTGGCTTCTTAATAACTTGGTAACTACTCTTTCCCGGAAAGGAAAAGTGAGTCTCTTTTCCAAGTGTTATTTTTTTTAAAGTTACTTCCTGTTTGATGAATGCAGCTTTACCTGTAAAATTAATCCTAAGAATCAGCATGACTGAGGAAAGCAGATTTCAAAGGCAGGAAAAGGAACTAATATGTTGTTACAGAAGTACCTTTTTGAACAGGTCCCTCCAGGTCCCTAGTGCCATGGGGAAACCCCTGGATGTAGGTGCTTGCCAACGAGTTTGCTGTGATAGGATGCGCTTGCAGCTTTTGCAGTCTCTCTTGTACAGCACTAGTTAGATCTACGTAGGCCTCATCGATGCTGGAACGCTCAATCACAGCAAAACGAGACATCACCTTCATCACTTCCACACTGGCCTCCCGGTACCTGAAGATTATAAAAATCATAGGCTGTTGGCCAGGAGCCTCAGTACTGACAGCATGTTGGTCCTTTTCCTGGCTCTGCCATTGGCATTCTGAAGGAACTGAAACAAGTTTCTTTTCTTTGTGTATAAAATGGAACTATATAAACACCATCCACTTACTTGGATTCTTATGGAAATTACAAGTAGGCAACAAGTAAAACACTCAAATGAGTAAAAAAACTATAAAAAAAGTTAATATTTTATTATTATTATTTTGGATGGGAAGAGGATACTCAGGTATCAAATTTGGAAACAGGTTATAATATAGGAGACAAAAGAAAACCAGAAAAGGACATAATAAACTACACAAGGTGGTGCTTTTTCACACCTTCCTAAAGCAAATCAAAATTACTATATGGAAAGCATGTAATCTTCATGAACATAACATGTTGTTTATTTGCTAGCTGTAACAAACATAGCTCTAGGGGCAGCTAGGTGGCACAGTGGATAGAGCTTCAACCTTGGAGTCAAGAGAAACCCAGTTCAAATCTGGCTTCAGACACTTGACATTTAACTAGCTGTGTGACCCTGGGTAAGTCACTTAACCCTGATTGCCTCACCAAAAAGCAAAACAAAAAACCATAGCTTTACAAAGGAATCTTTTCCTTATAGATTCTTCTTTGTAATGAAAAAAAAATCGCAAATATATTTTTTCTCCTTTAAGAAAAAATAAACCAAGTTATTTTTATTTCAATTTTTCCAGGTTTTACTTTTTAAATGGCCAAAGAAGACTCAGAACTCTAACTCTATTGCTCTAAACAGCTACAATCATTTTCTAATTCAGATTCACCATTCCAGGGTCTCAAAAAGATGTATTATTAAAGAGATAACAAGAAATATATAACAAAGAGTTAAGAAATCATGGACTCTTTAAGATGAAATAGATCTTGACCTATACCAAATCATATATCTGAATACAGATGAATATAATGTTTAAATTTCCTAGTAAATGAGGTTCAATAACTTCCTTCCTTCCTTGGGTATCTCGTTCCATTGTATAACAACCAACAGTTAGAAATTCCATCTGCTTAGCTATCTGCTTACATTTCCTGCTGGAATGTAAAAGCCATTTCCTAGTCTATTTTCAGAAGCAATAAAGGATACCTGGTAACTATTAAATTTTGTCTCTAGTAATCCTTTTTTGTAGGAGAACAATGTAGTTATCCTCTATGAACTCAGAATTTAAAGCTCAAACTCAAAAGTTTAGGGGTCTTTCTGTAAATATTGTTATAACAATTCTTTGAGAGTAAAACAGGATTTTTATACAGATCACCCACCTATCTCTTCAATTTAAATAATCAAAATTCTCTAATCTTCCTCATAGGACCTACATTTCAACCAATAAGTTATTCTGTTGGGCTTTCTAGACTTTCTCCATGCTGTCTCCAGGTATCCCTCTTGGGCTGCAGGCTTCATATTTTAATAAGCATCTGACCAATACAGGCTGTGAGAGGATTACCCTGCAGTTTCCACAAGTAGTATTTTTATCTTAGCACAGACATGTATTTTATGTTATACAACCCATTCCCAAGCTAATTAAAAGAATTTTTTTTTTAGGCAATGGGGGTTAAGTGACTTGCCCAAAGTTACATAGCTAGGGTCAAGTGTTTGGTCTGAGGCTGGATTTGAACTCAGGTCCTCCTGAATTCAGGGCCAGTACTCTATCCACTGCACCACCTAGCTGCCCCATTAAATACTATTTTTAATTTTATTCCCAATAAACACCAAATAAAATGGTTTTTATACACATACACACACACACACACACACACACACACACACACACACACACATATAGTAGAACAGAAAGAGAATTGTAGATTAAAGTACAGATTCCTATTATGCACAGATTGTTTTGGTGGTGCAGTAGATAGAGCACTAAACCTTTAGTCAGAAAGACTCATCTTCCTGAGTTCAAATTCAGCCTCTGACATTTACTAACTATGTGACCCTGGGCAAGTCACTTAACCTGTTTGCCTCAGTTCCTCCTCTGTAAAATAAGATGGAAAAGGAAAGGGCAAAACATTCCCATATCTTTACCAAGAAAACTCCAAATGGGGTCACGAAGAGTCAGACATGACTGAAAAACAACAGAATAACAATAAAATAAAATCAACTTGTAGCTTTCAAAAGCTGATCCGCTTGTCTGGCCTTCCTTCTGTTCTTATTTCTCCATTTTAAAAAAAGATCTCTCAATCATCTTTTTTCCTCTACTCCATCCCCTCTTGTGCTTTAATGCTATCGCCCATTAAGGGGAAAAAGGCACAAAAAAAGCCTTATAACAAATATAGTCAGGGGCAGCTAGGTGGCACAGTGGATCTGCATCAACCCTGGAGTCAGGAGGACTTGAGTTCAAATCTGGCCTCAGACACATAACACTTATTAGCTGTGTGACCCCCATTGCCCAACCAAAACCAAAACAAAACAAATATAGTCAAACAAAACAAATTTCCTTATTGACTGTGTTAAATAATGTAAGCCTCATTCTGCATCTTGAGCCTATCCCATCTTTGTCAAAAGGTGGGTACTAACTTCATCACCAGACCTCTGGAATCATCATTGAATTGATTGAGTTTTCAAGTCTTTCAAATCTGACTTTCTTTATTACGTTGTTGCTATTGTATAAACTGTTCTGGATCTGCCCTCTGTATCAGTTCATACAAGTCTTCCCAAGTTTCTATAAAATAGTTCATTCTACTCCATTCATATACCATAATTTGTTGAGGCATTCATTCCCCAATAAATGGATACCCCCTTAATTTCTCGTTCTGCACTCCTACAAAAAGAGGTGTTATAACTATTTTTGTACATATGGGTCCTTTTTTCAAAAAAATCTCTTCAGGGTAGTGGTATAGCATGGTCCAAAGGTATTCAAAGTTGAGTAACTTTGGGGGCATGGTTACAAATTGTTTTTCAGAACAGGTAATGTGAACAGAATCAGAACAGGTGAATGTTTTGTCAACAATGCACTAGTTCTCGAGCTAATTTTGATGTAACAGTTTAAAATTGCCAGTTCTCAACAAGTTTGTGGCACATAATGACCCTGAAGCTGGTTTACACCATAAATGCATAAGATTTTCTGTCTTGTACTTGTAATTGCTTGATCTAGTACTACATTGTAAATCTGGTAAAAAATGAAGTTTCAGGATTTAATGCCAAAGTAATTATAATGTGAACACAAGCTTAAGCTTCCTCTCAATACAACATGGCAAGGGTGCACAATTTAGGTCTAAGCACAATCTATCCTACTTAGTAAGCTCAAAACAATCTGTGGTTAGAAATGGCTTGTTTTTCTTTCAATAACTTCAACTTGGAGTTGGCCATGCCACAGCTTCCATGTTCTTCCATATTATAGGCATTTAGGTGGTACAGTGGATAGAGTGCTAGGCCTGGAGTCAGGAAGACCTGAGTTTAAAACCAGACACCAGCTCTTAGGCAAGTCACTCAACCTCTGTTTCTCTCAGTTTCTTCAATTGTCAAATTAGGGACAGCACTTACCTCCCAAGTCTATTGTAAGGGTCAAATGAAATAATATTTATAAAGTACTTAATACAGTGCCTGGCACATAGTAGGCACTATATTGCTAGTTTGTCATCATCATCATCATCATTTATTAAGAGGCATGATTGCAAAAAAATGGCCTTGGGATCAGAAGGCTGGGATTCCACTCCTGCCTCCATTACTTTTTAGCTATATGACCTTACTCAAGTCAATTTATTTCTCCAAGTCTCAGTGTCTTCAAATTTAAAATGGAAAAATACATGCATTGCCTGCTTCATGGTGTTGCTGTGAGAAAACAGCTTTGTAGACCATCAAGTACTGGTTCAGAGATGGATCCAGAAACAGATCAAACCTGAAACCACAAGTCTTGGTCATGGCCACACAAACTAGAATTGTGTTTTAGCTCTGACTCAGGGAGCTATGTATATTGCCTATGTGTACTTCTGGGAATTGTGAGGCAAAGATAGCTTAGCTTTAAAAGTTTATTTCCATCTTGAATAAAAGTTTGGTGTCAAAGTGCCTTAGCCTGTCCTGTTAAAACTCTCATAATTGAGTCTTAGTGATAGTTCAACCTAAGAATGTTGCACGAGATCTTCAAAGTCCTTCCTTTTGCTTCTGTGAATAAGAGAATAAGTATTATACAGATAATGGAATAGGTATTATATGAAACTGGTCTTAAGAGGACTAAGAAAGGGTAACAAGGACTGGAGGATGTATAAATTCAGTTCAACAAACATTTATGAAATATTTGCTGTGTATAGAATGCAGGGCACTACTACCCTGGGTGCTAGGACAAGATGCAAAGTTTAGATAGGCCATAATCCTAGCCCTCATGGAATCTAGTAGGGTGATTTGACATACATATAACCAAGTGTGTGTGTCTGTGTTACTGACTGGGGAAGGAGAAAGAAAAGGGGGCATTAATGAATGCTTCATGGAGAAAGTAACATTTGAACTCTGCTTTAAATGATGCATAAAAATTCAACAGACTGCAAGGGGAGGGGGAAAGGAAACAAGGCATTCCAGTGAAAGAAATAGAAAAGGAAGAGTTAGAAAAGCACGCAAACAACTAAAAGAACGGGGTGTCTCTGAAGGAAAGGGAGAAGAATATCCAGAAGGAAGAAGTCATCAACAGCGTTGAAAATGCTTTACAAAAAAATAAAGCCCTTGGCATCAGAAAGTGATATGATTTTATCAGTGGAAATTACATTAAAGAGAAGGCATTACCATTCGCCTTGTTGCTGCAACCCAAGAACCATGGGACTTTTCCATCTAACTTGCAGCTGAAACCTTCCATATGTGTTGTCTCCCTCAATAGAATGTGAGCTCCCCCAGGAAGATCTCACTTTTCTATTTGTAAATACAGCACTTAGCACTGTGATTTGCCTGAATTAAATGCTTGATAAATGTTTTATTCATTCATTAAAGAGGGGATGATTGCTAAAACAAAGTTCTTGAGAAAACAATGCAATAAAAGAACATAGATATATGCCTTACCAAAGATGATGTGCTATCCCTACTCTATCATAAGAGAGAAAAAAAGAATGGGTGATGAGTTTAAATATAACGAGGAGTTTGAAGGAAAGGAGAAGGATACCTGGTTATTAGAATGGTTGTTAATAGTTCCTGGAATCTAAACCAAAGTTTCTGGGAAGGTGACATCATTCAGGCACTGTCAGTTCAAAATAGCACTAAAATCCCCATTCTGGGCATCATGGACCATTAATACCAATCCCTTCCCCTTTATCCCAAACAATTTTTCTCCTTACTTGGTGAGGTCAGCTTTCCCTCGGGTCTCATGAACTTGTGCTAGCAGAAGATCTGGACATAGCTTCTTAGCATCATCTGCCCACATATACCTAGTAACTCCAAATGCACGAGCTTCATAACTGACTGAAATTATTCTAGACAAAAAGAGTAGGCAGTTACTATATGACCACAAGCAACAAAAAAGGGAAGCGTTTACAATAATAATTTACTAGATAAAATGAGAGGCTACCATAGACTGTAATCAGAGATGAGCAAGTGGTGCTCATTTTAAGCAATGGCACTGAACAACAAAAGAGATGCAAACTGAAACAAGTTCACTAAAGCAGAAGTCAAGTCACATAGGTACCTAAGGTGACAAAGATAGCAAATGATACACTAAGCTTCACAGTTACATTACTTATACTGGGAATAACAATCAGCATTAGCAGTACCCTAAAATAAAGATAATGATAGTATAGATGGAAAGGTAAACATGAAACGCTGCAATGCTATTGGATATTTCTGATGCTTCCTGTGTGTTCATCATCTACTAATCAAATCAAGATAGAGTGTTTTTAAAGAAATATTTTCCTGGGGCAGCTAGGTGGTGCAGTGCATTGAGCACCAGCCCTGAAGTCAGAAGGACCTGAGTTCAAATCTGACCTCAGATCAAACAGTTGACACTTACTAGCTGTGTGACCCTCAGCAAGTCACTTAACCCCAACTGCCTGAAAATTTTAAAAAAAAGAAATATTTTCCTGTAACTCAAATAATAGCATTGATATGTTTATATGATATGCCTTTCATATAGAAGGCAGTCCAATGAGCCCAAAGAGATAAGAATGACAGGAGGGAAATAAAGTTGTATAGCCTTATAGTCTACTGTTAGGTAAGGCCTAACATGTAATAATCTGTATAATACCTTTCTTATGCTGAAAAAAAGCAATTTCCAGACATTATTTCACTGTAATTTACTACGCCCTAAGAGTCGCCTCAAGTATTATCCAAATTTGCAATTGCTGATACACATACTGGTTGACTGTATACCTTGCTAAAGTTCATAAAGAAAACAAATGTTAGTCAGACTAGGACCAGGTCCTTCAATGTATCGTGTACTCTATCTCTAGTTCTAGATTTTTTTTTAACCCAAGAATTTTTATTGTTTTTATTTTACAGCCATTTACGCCATGAATTCGTAGGGGATCGCTTCCAACAGCTCAGGTTCCTTGCCATTGGTTCTCACAAAGTGTGCTTCTCTGGGTGGAGCAGGCTGGTGCTTCAGCTGAACCCAAGTGCCTTTTTCTTTGGCTTCCTTCTTCTTCTGATCATTTTCCTTTACCGGCTTCAGGAAGCTATCTCTGCTCTTGGAATGCTTAATATGCTCAATACGAACATTAATTCTCTTGGCTAGAATCTTGCCCTTAACCTGTTTGTTTACAACAATGCCTACAGCATGTTGAGTAACATTATAGACCCGTCCAGTCTTGCCATGGTAACATTTGTGGGGCGTTCCTTGCTGAACTGTGCCCATACCCTTGATATCTACAATATCACCTTTCTTGTATATTCGCACATATGTAGCCAGAGGGACAACACTATGTTTTCAAAAGGGCCTAGAAAACATGTATCGAGTCCCTCTCCTTTTTCCTTTTGTGTTCGTCATTTTGGCGACTCACTGGAATATGGCGGAGCTGGCAGAAAAGTATCTCTTCTAGATTTTTAAGCCACTGAGGGTCATAAACCAGTAGAGGGGTACAGCCAGTAGGTTTTTGAAAACTAATGTGAGACAAGTACTTCACTGCCCATCAAGCTGGCTGCAGTCTTCTGGCCTTCTCCATCATATCCCCATGTTGGGCACCTTCCCTCCCTCCTCATCCCAACACAACTTGCCCCCTCTTAGCTTCTTTTTTAAGGGTTGATTTCCCCCATTAGAATGTAAGCTCTTTGAGGGCAGGAACTGTTCTTTCTTTTTGCCTGTATTTGTATTCCTAGAATTTAGTTCAGTGCTAGGCATATAACAGGCAAGCACTTAAAAAATGCATGTTGACTGACAAGAAAACTAGAAGTTGGGGAGGAACGAGGGTAAAACAAAGCATGGTAACAACCAAGGTCTGAGGAAGAAGGTCAAGAATAGAGACTAAGTTTCAGAGAGACAGATTTCAGCTTGATTAGAACTATCCAAAAGAAGAATGGGAAGACCGGATGACCATTTGTCAGGGATGCTGTAGAGAGGATTCTTGTTCAGGTAGAAGTTGACTAGAAGGCTTCTTCTAACTCTAAAATTCTATGAGCACTTAGAAATTAAAAACATCAGAAGGTCATATAATAGCTAAGATTCCACATTTCTAGGCATAGAAATCATAGCTGAAATTTAAATTATGGCAGTTCAGGGAAGTCAGTCTTAATTATGCTATTTAGTCCAATACAGATTTCTAAATATGACCTGATGGTGCTAAAAATGTAATGACACATACCCACCACCCCTCCATGATTTGTACTGCACAACTGCACAAGGTTTGTTTCTCAAATGTGGATTCTGCTTCTGTTCCACTTGTACAAAGAAGCAATCCATGTCCACCAGGGCAACCACGCGCTCCTGCCCAATTGCCATTTTCCTGTTAACAAAAATGAAATGTTTTATAATCAATGAATCAGATAAAGACAACTAAAAAGACATACGGGAAAACAACATTTCCATTCATATTTAAGCATTAATCTATGCTCACCACTTAGAAAAGTTAACCATCAGGAAATATTTAGGCATGTAAAAAAGCTTAAGAGGTATGAATAAATAATTTCACTCATAAAGCTACCCCTGGCTCCAAAAAAGAAGAAAAGTAAACTAGGAAGTAGCAATATTATCTTTTCCTTAATCCTAAAACATGATTAAAATTTCTTTTAAAAGCATGAGTTAGTGCTCTCAGGACTCTCATCAATACGAACTTCATAATCCTGTAAGATCACATTGGCCTGTGTACTGAGGCCTCATTAATACCCTCTGTCCCAGGTCCCTTCTCCTTGGAAGGTAGAGTAAGGAGCTCCTCCCAAAGCCTCAGTTTGAAGGCCCAGGCCAGCCACTGCCTCATTTCCTACCCAACTGCACTCCTTTGGACTTCATTGTATTCTCTAGCTGGGTATCTTCATCCTGCTCCCATTTTCAACTGCTTTTTGTGTACTGTCTTCCCCATTAGGTTGTGAGTTCCTTGAGGGAAGAGACTATCTTTTTTTTTTTTTCCATATTTGTATCTCCAGTGCTTAGCACTGAACTTAGCCTTACTGGACTGACAAGATCAAGATAAAAACCTGAACTCCCTGTCTTCGATGTCAAGCTCCTTCAGCACCGAATCTGGTCTACATGAGTCCAGTTAAAGAACTTCATGTGGGAAAAGGGTGTTCCCTGTGACATGGGTAAAAAACATAAATATGTTTTACTTGTTACATTTATGTGTATGTAACACAATTTAAAAATTTGGTAATGAAAAAAAAGGATAAGTTAGTTTTTTACATGGGGTAGATGGTATAGAGGACAAGTTATAGTCATTGCTCAACCCATGGTTTAAAACAAAGTACAAAAGAAAGAAATCATCTATACTGAGGTATCTCTGAAGATATCTTTTCAACGGCCCTGAACATTGCAGAGAACTTCTGGAAAAGATTTATACCATTCAAGAAAGTTTGGCCTAACCATCTTCCAAAGAAAAAGCAAATGGATAAAAAAATGCCAATTATCTAGATTATGACAACCTATAGAGCTTGTCCCTCCATAACTATACTTTAGACTGAGAGTACAAGTGGACAAAATGGGCCAAGAACTTAAGCGAAAGGGAAGAGTAGGTAGGATTGCTTTCAGGAAATTGAAGAGCTTCTTTAGTGACCCTACCTTCTCCTAGATGCAAAGGACCATTTTTTTTTTCATACCAATATCCTTTTGGTGTTTCAGATGCTGTGCTTGGTTTCAAATCCACCATCATCATGTACCCCCAGGATAAGTTCATCACTAGGAAATGCATCATCGTGGAGACTGCATCAGCTTTCGTACTCACTTTATCAATACCCTCAGTTGCCTCTACCCCTCTGATTGGAGGGCTGAATGTCAAAGCAAAAACTCTTCCCAAAGTCTTCCTTTGTAGAAGGCTCAGAAGTCCAGTCAACTCTTCATTATTGCTTATTTCTACTTCAACATCATTATGCCCCCTTCCCCCTACCAGGTACCCTTTGCCCCAACCCACCTCCCTTTCAGCTTCCTTTTGGATATTTTCCCCCCATTAGAGTGTAACCTAGCACATAGTAGGTGCTTAATAAATTTGTATTGTATTGTGTTCTATGGCTTTGAGTCATGGAACTCTAGTCTCCAAAGAATTGAAATGAGTCTCACTCAGAAGGCAAGGGAGAGATGCAAGTGGGATGTGAGGAGACTGGAACATATGACAAATCCTTCAAAAGCCACAAAAAAAAAAGAAAACCAAACAAAAACCCAAGAGAAAGGACTTTAAAAAAAATAAGAAAAAAATAAAATGGAGTAAGAACATGGCGAGAACAAGGGTTAAACCAGTGGCCACTACCTCATTCCTCTACACATATGCTCAAGATGTCAGGAGAAAGTGAGTAAGGCCATTGACACATAGGAGACCATGGCTAAGGGTCACACAGAATTGGCAGGCATGTAAGGGTTGCCATCAACATTGCTTGGGGTGAATATTCTAATGAGATCACAGGTCCATTTGAGTATTTTAAAGCAGCAACAAACATTTAATTGGACATTCCCTACATTAATGGGGGTTTTTTTCAATTTTTTAAATTAAAAAAAATTTTTTTTGTTTTCATTAACATCATTGTTTCCCCATTCCCAGAAAACACTGTTTTCTAAGATCCTACCAAATCCTGCCAAACCAAATCCAGTTATGCAGGATTCCTAGCTTCTCTATCTCCTTTTTACCTAACCTTATAATGTGCATGAGTTCTAAAATTACCTTTTCTTTGTGCTACTACAAATGAAATTAAATGCTTCCTAAGCTCTTAACAAGGTACCCTGCAATACCGAAAATATAGTTCTTTTCCTTTTTTTTTAAAATATAAAGGAATAGTTTCCTTTATAACTTCCAAATTTCCAAGTTTTTAATTGATTCCCATCCCTTAGCAACCTTCATCATCCTAATTCTTCACTCCCAATCCTGGGCTACTGAACACTGATAAAGTTTAAAAAAGATTTCACCTGCTACAAATTTATACTGCACAGCCTCAGCCAGGTTATCGACAGCTGATTAAAAATCCTTCTACTCTGTTCTCATCAGCTGAGAATCTCAAGATCTCAGAACTGGAAAGGAACTCAGAGGCATCTAAATCCAATTCACACCTTAACCAAGAATTCCTTCAACATCTCCAACAAAGAGCTCACAAACCTTCATTCAAACTCCAACGAGGGAGAAATCACTACCTCCTGAGGCAACACATTTCACTTTCAGAAAACACCAATTGTTAGGTTTTTTCCTTCATCAAGATGAAACTGACTGCCTACAAATGCACTCTCATGGCCCATACTTCTAGTAGATGACTTAGCCTTCCTTCTACTTCACCATGGAAACAGGCCCTAAACAGGAGTTCCATACTCTACATCTTAGAACTCCTTGACATTATCTCCCATTTTTTGCTCTTTTCTGCCTTCTCCAGGACCTTGCTCCAACAATATTTCTTTCTTTCTCATGCTCTCCTTCTCTACGGAGATCTTCCCATCTGTCTATAAACATGCTTAGGTGTTCCAAATGCTAAAAAAATAAAAACAAACCTTTTGACCTGATGCTTTGTCTTGTCCAGCTACCATACAAACCATTTCTTCCTTACCTTTCACTGCCAATTTCCTTTTTTTTTTTTTTGGCTTTTTGGTGAGGCGATCAGAGTTAAGTGACTTGTCCAGGGTCACACAGCTAGTAAGTATTAAGTGTCTGAGGCTGGATTTGAACTCAAGTCTTCCTGACTCCAAGGCCAGAGCTCTATTCACTGCACCACCTAGCTGCCCCCTTTTTTTGGCTAGGCAATGGGGTTAAGTGACTTGCCCAGGGTCACACAGCTAGTAAGTATTAAGTGTCTGAGGCCACATTTGAACTCAGGTCCTCCTGATTCCAGGGCCAGTGCTCTATCTACTTTGCCACCTAGCTACTTCTCAATTTCCTTAAAAACACCATGCCTCTATCTCTATGCCATTGCTTCTTTACCACCCATTCTCTCTCCTCAACTTTCTGCAATTTAGTTTCCACCCCAACAAATTCTTTTTTTTTCCAACAAATCCTACTGAACCTTTTCTTACCACTGACTTCTTTATTGACAAGTCCGATGGCCCTTTTTTTAAACCTTCATCCTTGACCTCTGAAGCAATTTACGGTGTTCTTGACACCGTTTCCCATCTCTTCTGCATATCTTCACATTCTTTGCTTCGGGGAGCTCACACTTTCCTGGTTATCCACTGACCTCTGTAATTACTACTTTCTTTTTCACTGGTTCTCGTATGATTACCAACCCCTTTGGGGTGTTCCCCAAAGGTCTGTCACAGGTTCTCTTCTCTCTCTATGAGTTTTGATTATACCATTCATTCCCATGGTTTCATTAGCATCCCCATGCAGATTATTCCTTAATCTATATATCCATATATGTAATCTCTCTTGAACTTGTTACCTGCAGCGTCAACAATCTGCTGGACATCTGCAAGTGGATATCCCATCGCAAACTCAATGTGTACATAATGGACCTGATCATCTTCCTATTTAAATATACACCTCCTCCAAACTTTCCTATTTCTGTTGAGGTTCATAGGTTCACCCAGGACCATAATCTGCATCATACTTGACTCACCCCTTTACTCCTCACTCCCCATTATAATCAGTTGCTAAGACCTGTCAATTCTAACTCTACAACATCTTTCACAACTGTCTCCTGACTCAAGAGACTACCACCTAACTTCAGTCTCCTATGAACAGTTACTTAGACTATTGTAATAGATTATTTCTTCATCCATCAGCTTTTTATCTCTCCCCTATTCAATCCATTCAACACACAACTGACACAGTAACCATCCTAAGACAGAGGTCTGATTATGCCATTCCCATGCTCAAAAAACTTCAGGGGCTTCCTATTGTGTCTAAGGTAAAATACAAATTCATCAGCCTGGCATATTAGCAAACTCGGATGGAAAATGATTAAAGACAAGTCATTACCCAGATAACTTCCACAATCTTTCTCCCATCTATCTTTTCAGCCTAATTTTACTTCCTTAAAGCACTATATATGTTCCAGCCAACCTGAACTAGCTACTTTGTGAATTCAATATTCCATCTTCTATCTCCAAGAATTGGAACAAACTGTCCCCCATACATGAGATATACCCCTTCCTCCTCACAGCCTTCCAGAATTCTTAACTTTTTTATCTTTTTTTTTTTTTGGTGAGGCATATGGGGTTAAGTGACTTGCCCAGGGTCACACAGCTAATAAGTATCAAGTGTCTGAGGCCAAATTTGAACTCAGGGCCTCCTGACTCCAGGGCCGGTGCTCTATCTACTGTGCCGCCTAGTTGCCCCAATTCTTAACTTTTTTCAAAACTCACTCACGTCACCTTCTTCCCCGAACTCTTCCTTGTTCTCCCCAGTTGTTAGTGTTCTGCCTCTTCAAATTACCTTTCATTAATTTATCTGAGTATATATTGTATCACTCCAGTAGAATGTAAGCTTCTCAAGACCAATTACTGTTTCATTTTTATCTTTGTAATCCCAATGCCTAGTGTATGGTATATAGCTAATAAATGTATGTTGAATTCACATCAAAGGCTATTTCCTCCAGGAGCTCCCAGTTAATAATAACCTTTTCCAAATGCTCTAAATCATTACTGATTAGAGAAATGCAAATCAAAACAACTCTGAGGTACCACATCACACCTATCAGATTGGCCAACATGACAAAACAGGAAAATGATAATTGTTGGAGAAGATGTGGGAGAATTGGAACACTAATGCATTGTTGGTGGAGTTGTGAAATGATCCAACCATTTTGGAGAACAATTTGGAACTATGCCCAAAGGGCTATAAAAATGTGCATACCCTTTGACCCAGCAATAGCACTTCTAGGGCTATATCCCAAAGAGATCATAAAAATGGGAAAAGGACCCATTCATAGCAGCTCTTTTTGTGGTGGCAAAGAATTGGAAATTGAGAGGATGCCCATCAGTTGGGGAATGGCTGAGCAAGTTGTGGCATATGAATGTAATGGAATACTATTGTGCTATAAGAAATGATGAACAGGCTGACTTCAGAAAAACCTGGAAAGACTTGTATGGTCTGACGCTGAGTGAAGTAAGCAAAACCAAGAGAACATTGTACACAATAATAGCCACGTTGTGCGATGACTAATATTGATAAACTTAACCTTTCTCAGCAATACAAGGATCTAAGATATCTCCAGAGGCCTCGTGATGGAAAATGCTTTCCACATCCAAAGAAAGAACTATGGAAGTTGAACTGCTATCTTTTTTTTTCCTCTTCTGTTAAGTTTTGTTTCCTCTTTATGATGGTTTTTCCTATTGGTTTTAATTTCTACTTACAACATCACTAATGTGAAAATATGTTTAATAGCAATGTAAATGTATAGCCTATATCAGATTGCTCGCTGTCTTGGGGAGGGTGGGGGGGAGGAAGGGGGAGAAAAATTTTAAACTCGAAAGCATATGGAAGTGATTGTTGATAAATCAAAATAAATTAATAAAATAATTTTTAAAAAATAAACTGTTTTGCCAAAAAAAATGACCTTTTCCTCTCTTGAATCTCATACAGGACTTTGCTTTACATCTTTCTAATGTACTCATCTATGAATGACAAGGCTATAGGAACTAAAGAATAAAAGGCACACAGAGTAAGTACAAAGTAGGCAGAACCAGAAAGAACACTGACAAGGTTAGAGTATAGATTTAGAGCAAGAACAGGCCTTAGGGGCCAGCTAGCCCAAACCCCTCATTCTAGAGATAAGACGAAGTCCCAGAAGAATCAGTGACTTGTCACATAGACAGCAAATGGCAAAGCCAAGATTTAGACCCTGGTCATCTGACTCCAAATTCAGCACCCTTTCCACCATATCACACTGCCCCTCTGAAATACATCCAGGGGACTTATGGGTTGTAAGAAAGGGGATGATTAGCCTAGAGAAAAGTTGGGAGGAGACATAATAGCATTTTCAAGTATCTAAACATCTTTCTGGGAGAAGAAATAAACTTCTTGGCTGCAAAGGGGAAAACTAAGAGCTACATGTGGAAATCACAGAGGCAGATTTGGCCTTGATAAGAAAAAAAACTTCCTAACAGCCAGAGTGTCCAAAAATGGTTTTGTCTGTCTCAGGAAGTCCTCGTTACTGCACACATTCAACCAGGGGCTGGATGACCACTTGGGGAGGGGATTCTTTAGGTGATTCTTCTTCTGAACAAACTCTCTCCTATCTCTGTTTTCAGCCTAATTTCACCCTATTACACTTAAAGCACTTATATACTCTAGCCAAATTGGAACTAGGTGCTTTGTGAATTCAATTCTCCATATCTCACCTCCAAGGAATGGAACAAATTGTCCCCCAGGGTTGTGCAGTGAAGAGAGTGCTAGGCCTGGAGTAAGGAAGACCTGAATTCAAATCCATCCCCAAACATTTAGTAGGTGTGTGACCCTGGGCAAATCACTTAACCTTCATCTGCCTTATTTTCCTCAACTGTAAAATGGAAATGATAACCATAACCTATGTCACAGGGTAGTCACGAGGGGCAAATAAGACAATATTTGTAAAGTGCTTAGCTGGGTGCCTGGCACATAGAGTGGTTTAATAAATTGCTCATTCCCTTCAAGTATGTGTTTGACTGGATGACCTCTGAGGTCTCTTCTGATTCTGTAATTCTATGTATGTCCTTATCTGAAGCAGCTAGTTGGTATAGTAGATAGAATGCTGAGCCTAAAGTCAGAAGACCTGAGTTCAAATCTAGCTACAGACTTCCTAGCTGTGTGGCTCTGAGCAAGTAACTTAATCTGTTTGCCTTAGTTTACTCAACTGTAAAATGGGGATAATAATAGCACCTACCTCCCAAGGTTGTTGAGGGGATCAAACGAGAGACAATAATTGTAGAGCACTTAGTACAGCACCTAGCTAAATAGTAGGCACTTAATAAATGCTTGTTTTCTTCCTTCTTTATCCCATTACTAGACTTTTTGCTCTACCAATGCAGAGAGAATATCTTATATAAACTCTGTATTTCCTTAGGGCCTAACACAGTCCTCTGCATATGTATGGGCTTCAATAAATATTTCCTGAATAGAATATGTCAAATATAAGCTTTTTCAGGTAATTTGTGTGATACTGGGACCTAATGAATTAATAAAGCCCAGAAAATTTAAGGCACAAAAACAGATAACTATAATCTAAAATATTACGAGGATATTACAAAAATCATAAAGCATTAAGCATAAAGGGGAAGATCTTTACCTGCTATGGGCATCAGGGAAATCTTCACATTAGAGGAAGCATATGATTTGGGTTTTAAAAGACGGATAGCAGGTGAAGAATGGAACAGTCTTCTCATCTGTAAAATAAAATGATTGAATTAGATGATCTTTAAATCCAGCTCTAAACATTCTCAATGCAGAAGGCTAACAATGAAAGATGTCAAGTTTGATAATGCTTACTCAAAAATTCAATTTATCAGAAGCATTGGTAAAAAACTACACTATACAGACCTAGTATAGTATCATGTCCTCTGTGGTTACACAATTTTTTTAAAGTTGTAGGAAAAAGAAGATGAAATTGTTGCTTAACTTTGTTCTTTGGTTTTATCTGTGAAATTCAATTTTATCTCCTTTCTACTAAGGCTAAGCAAGAGCAAAACAGACAAAAAGGAAACTAAGTCTTGATATGACATTTACTCTTTTAAGAATAGCTAATGTCGGCCTGCAGAAAAACATTTATTAGTTTGGAGGAATTATTAAGAATACTATGTAAGAGTATTTAATATATATTTGTATATATAACATATATATATACATATATATGTGTGTGTGTGTGTGTGTGTGTGTGTATGTACGTGTATGTATATGTATGTGTATATGTGTGTGTATCCAAAACATATGTATGTTTTGGAAGGTTTCCACTTAATCCTAAGAGGAATTTTTTCTACTGTCCTATAAAGCTGCAACTTGAAGGTTCTTGATAATCATAAAACCTGGGCTAGAAAGGGCTGAAAGAAGTAAAAGAAACCCACATTTGAAAATTTCTTTTTTCACTTAGTTTCATTAAATTCTACTTAACTAATCCCTAGCATGGCACAAGACAAAGATCCTCTCTTGGGTTATTTAAACCAGCACTTTTTAATGCTGAACAAAACAGCTAGTTAAAGGATTAACTCAGAATTCTACTGGACAGAGTATGAATGACTTTTTTCAGTTTATGTATTTCGCTATATAGAGTACCTTTTAAGTTTTACAGTATCCTGAAATCAGTAAGGATAATTCAGTATTGTTACACATATAGTTCAATAAAATATTTCAGAGGGATCAAACTTTGTTACGTTCTTTAGTCTTTTCTGACTCTCATAAGCCCATTTGGGGTTTTCTTGGCAAAGATACTGGAGTGGTTTGCTATTTCCTCCTCCAGCTCATTTTAAAGATGAAGAAACTGAGGCCAATAGGGTTAAGCAACTTGCCCAGGGTCACACAGCTAGTAAGTATCTGAGGCTGGATTTGAACTCAGGAAGATGATTCTTCCTGATTCCGCGCCCAGTGCTCTATCCACTGTGCCAATTTAACAAACATCTATTAAGGGCCCACTATGTGCATGACACTATGCTAGGCACTAGGAATGCAAAGAAAAATGAAACAATTTTTGCCCTCAAGGAGCTTACATTCTATTGTGAGACAACAAAATGTACATAGAAAGTTCAATATAAGATATATACAAAACAAGCACAGTGAGGTAGGAAGAATACTGACACATAGAGGAGTAGAGATAAGTAAAGGAGAAATTTCAGGAGAAATCTCTTGTTGCTGTGCCTTGAAGCAAGCTATGGATCCTAAGAGGCAGAGGTAAAGAGCGAGTACATTCAGGGAATGAGGTATTTGCCTATGAAAACGTCCAGTTTGGAGAAAAACAAGTTGGCCAATTTGGCTGGAAGAAGAATGCATGAAGGGGAGTAATGGGTAATTGTCTGGAAAAAGAGATTGGTTAGGGTTGGATTGTAGTGGGTTTTAAATGGCAAACAGGGCAGTTTGTATTTTATACTAAGAGTTTGGTGACTGACTGAATACAAGGAGTGAAGGAGAATGAAGAAGTGCTAATGACTCTTAAGTTGCAAACCAGGTTGTCGAAGGATGATGAGGCCCTATATAGAAGCAGGGAAGTTGGAAGGGGATGGAATTTGGGTAGGAAGATAATAAATTCTGAATCACTAACACATGAATTCTTTATCATCCATCAGAAGAGATGAAGCCATTCTAAGGAGAGAATAATTGAAGCTTGGTTCCCTGGATAGGACTTGATATTTTGCATGATTGTACATGTATAATCTATATCAAATACCTTGCCATCTCAGGGAGATGAGGAGGAAAGAGGGAGAGAATTTGAAACTCAAAAATTTTTTTAAAAATGAATGCTAAAAATTGTTTTTACATGTAATTGGAAAAAAATAAAATATTATTCCTGGATAGGACTTCGGTGAAGCCAAGACCAACAAAGATAAGAGAAATGAGATGGTATATCTAGAGAGGAAACTTTAAATCACTTACCTGTTTTTCTTTGTCCTCTTTACTGAGGACAAAGGAAATGGAAAACCAAAAAAGGATAATTTATTAGGTAGATAAGATGTAGTATTGGTAGTAAAGTAGGTGATATTTAACTTTGTTATTAATCTGGAAGTTGGCGCGAACAATGCACAAGTATATTTCAAAGTACTTAGGAAGTACTAAATTGAAAACTTCAGGAAACATAAGTGAGCAAAGAGGAAGTAGTATAGATCTAAATATGAGACAGAGGTTGACAGCTGAGCACCCAACCATATTTTAAGCATCCAACCATATTCTGGAACAGAAAATAAGATTCAACTTGAAAAAGATATGGTATGTTTCAGTGCTATTAATTTGGAAAAGTAAAAAAAAAAGATTAAGAACATTAAAATTATCTCTTTATTATTTAAGAAACCTGACTGAAAGAAGGAAATCAATTTTAGTTTATTGGGCAATAATAGCTAAAAGAGGATGGAATGCATCCGCAGTTGAACTTATAAGAGAAATAACTTAGCCTTGGAAAGTTGATCACGATGGCAACTTTATGAAACTACAAAGACGAAAAATAACCAGATTGCCGGGGGGGGGGGGGGGGGGGGCGGAAGGCACTTAAAATAACCGGAAAGACTAGATGAACAAGTGATCAATTGGGGGCTGGGTTATAAGACATAAATACCAGAGAATACAATATGTAAATGAGATTGTACAGAACACAAAAACAGGCACTGGAGGAAGTTTCTTTCCAGTCGCTATTGACGCTGATATCGATGATCACTATTGCATCATTTTGTTTTAAATACCTTTTTTTTCTTTTTTAGGATGGACTCTCCTTTAAACTAACCTTTCACAGCAGCATTGTGCCACCACTAAATGCCTAGATCTGCTCCAATCTATTCAGGTGGGAAAAAAAGCAAGAATAAGCTGGGATCCTTTCAGGCGATATGACAGCCAGGTAAGTACCATGGGCAGTTTTCGGAGCCAAGTGTGTGACTACTAGACAGCTAAGACACTTCCCCCCCACCCCAATCTTTTTTTTCCAAGGAGATCAAGTCAGATCCAACAGTGATTCTACCAGACTTTCAATCTCAAACTCTCCTGCGTCAGGAGGAGCCCGGGTCCCCACCCTGGGACCGACAGGTGTCACCAGAAGGAGGTGTCCCGTGAAGCCGAGAATCAGCACCGCCGGAGCTGCCTCGGGATGGGGCTTACGAGTTCTCCTACCAACGCGAAGGCTCCAGCTGACAACGCCGCCAGCCCGGCGCCACGGGAAGGGAGATGGAACTGGGGCCAGGAGGGGAACTCTTCTGCCGGCGTGACAGGAGACGCGCCGCTTCCCGAGCGGGCGCAAGACGGGACAGAGATCGCGAAGATGATCGCTCTTCCTCGTGCCTGCTGTTGGACACCCGGCTAAGCTGTCCCGATCTCGTCGGACGCGACCGACGTACCAAGCCGCACTTCAAACCCGCTCCAGACTAGCACCGGCCCTCTGGTCGCCGGAAACCGTTGAGACGCCTGCGCAGTTAAATCTTTAGGTTTGGCGCTTCGTGCACACTAAACTCCACCCAATCACCCCCGCCCCCTAGTGGCCAAAGGCCCGCCCCTTCTGCCCTCCCCTAGAGAGGGCGCTTGCGCAGTGGCTGGGCCCGAGTGCGTGCGCCGTGGAGGGGCAGCGGCGCGTGCGCAGGGCGGACTCTCTCCCTCCTCCCCTTCTTCGCTCCGCCTCCTCCTCCTCCTCCTCTTCCTCCTCCTCCTCTTCCTCCTCCTCCTTTTTGCCCCCCTCCCCACTCGGAGCGGTTGGTGCCAGCTCCCCCGTAGTTCTGCTGCTCTCCTCTGCTCACGGTTTCACCCGGGCGCTGTTGCGCTGTGCGGCCCCGGTGTGTGAGCGCTTACGGCCCTGGTTGCGGGTGTAGCAGTGGTTGCCTCGTGCTCTGGGGGTCGACGCGCGCCGCACGGGGGGGATTCTCGCCATGTCGACAGATGAAGTGAACGGTCTGTGCGAGCAGCTGGTGAGGGCGGTGACGGTCATGATGGACCCGAGCTCCACCCAGCGTTATCGCCTCGAAGCCCTCAAGGTAGCTTGCAAAGGGGGGGGGGGCTGGGGGCTGGCACTGCCGAGAAGGAGTCCCGGCCCCCGCTGCCCACGCGCTGCGGACGCCGGGCCCGTGGCTCCGCGCCAGCCTCGGGCCCACGAGGCCTACGAACCCCTCCCCCTCCCGCGTCCTCCCGGCTGCCCCCCCTTCAGCATCTCCTCCTCAGTTATCCCCCTCACCTCCCGGGCCCAGCCCAGACCGGCGGCGCCCAGGCCCTCTCCCCACCGCTATGCCTTTCCCCGGGCCCTTGCTGCCAGCTATTCCCTCCACTCGCCATCCTTGCTTGCCTCCGCGTCTACCCATCCCCCCTTCTCTTTAAGAAATCGGGCACAATAGTGACTCTACCCCCTCCGTGCCTTCCCCGGGTAGTTTACGTGCCCTTTTTGTTTTCTCTCCCCTCCCCATCCAATTCCCTCCCCCACATCTTCCCACACCCATCTCCTAACACTACACCTCACTCTGTGAGATCGCTTCTCATCCTCCTCAACTACCTGTAAACATTCAGCCCCAGTCTCTTCCCCTGCCTGGACTTTTTCCTTGTAGGCACTCCTTTCATGGCATTTATAAGCATCTCTCTCTCAGTTCGTCTTCCCTGCCCATTCTTCTGTTATTCGTCACCGCCCCCACACACACACATACCCTAGAACTCTAGGATTTCTGGTTTTGCATTTTTCTTTTGAATAATGGCAGTATCATTTAGTGAAAACAGTCTTCTAGGGTTTTATGGGGGAAAGAGGATCATGACCATGAACATTTGTTAAGCTGGAGAGGGGAGAGAATAACACTTTACTCCCTTACCAAACATAAGTTAGAGGTAATGGCTGATTTGCTCCCCCCACCTCCACCCCACCCCGCCAAAAAGAAAAAAGCTTTATAACTTTATAAATGTGGATCTTCACTCTTGGGGAAGATATGTAGATCCTGCACAAGGAGTGAAATCAGAAATAACTAGCTTAAGTATGTTTTCCTTTTAATCTACTTGACTGGGATAACATCTAAAACTAAGAATAATTAGTAAAGGATTTTTTTCCTTGTTCACATGTTGACGAATTTGCTTGTTGACAATACCAAATAAACCTCTTCGTGTTTTTTATTTCTCAGCTGCTAGTAAAAGCTTTAACCATTTTCCTTCCTTAGTTCTGTGAAGAGTTTAAAGAAAAGTGTCCCATCTGTGTCCCATGTGGCCTGAAGTTGGCTGAGAAAACACAGACTCCTATAGTTAGACACTTTGGCCTTCAGATCCTGGAACATGTTGTCAAGTAAGAGACTCTTAACTTACCTGAGATCATTCTGGCCTCCTATAGCCTATAGTTTTCCCGCTGAACCTTCTGAATGTAAGGATTGTTTTTCCTTTTCTGGTGACTTCTGCCGTATGGGTGGTCTTCCTGTTACTGTACAGAATCCTATCCAAGGAGGTTTCCTGGTATAGGTGGAAAGAGTATTGGACTTGAAGTCAGCAGAAATTGGGTTAGAATCCTGCCTTGGGTGCTTGCTAGCTGAGTGAGCATGAGCACTTTACTTAATCTCTCTTGGCTTCAGTTTCTTCTCCTGTAAAGTGAAGCTAATACATATAGTATAAATCTACCTCACTGAGTTGTTGGGACAGTCTGGGGGCATAATGTGAGATAAGCATTTTGCAAACATTAAAGAAATAAAAAACATTCAGACTCTAATGTCCTTCTGGTGCTACGTTTCTGTACCTCATGACCATTCTGAGAACCCTGCTCAAGTCTTAAGTACGTGAACAATTCACGTATGATAACTAGAGTAGCATTGTCTAGAAATGTCTAAAGCCCCTACAGGCCAGCTTCCTAATTTTAGTCTTCTGTACTCTCTAGGCCAACTCCCATTGTAGCAGTTGGTGTTCATATACTAAACTAGATTTATACTGACATTGTAAATATCGCCTTAATATTCAATAAAGTGATGCTACCTGAGTAGGTAGTATCAAGATCCTCTTACCTATCTAAGAAGTTATCAGGTGTATATATTTACTTTACCTCCATCAAAATGAAACAGCAATAGATATTTTTGTGTATATAGATTTCCACTATTAGCTTTTGTGCACATTAAAATCTGTTCTCGTGGCAGCTAGGTGGTCCAGTGGATAGAGTACTGGCCTTGGATTCAGGAGGACCTGAGTTCAAATCCAGCCTCAGACACATAACACTTACTAGCTGTGTGACCCTGGGCAAGTCACTTAACCCCATTGTCTAACCAAAAAGAAAAAAATCTGTTCTCAGAGTCATGCTGGTATTAGGGTTGTAGACCTAATCTGGATTCTCTCAAGTCCAGTCTTCAGAATGAGAGTATTTGCATACATGTAGAAACCAAAGTTACACTTGTCAGTAGATTCTTTAATGGATGTGACAGCATAATTGAGGTCAGGGAACAGTGTTATTTCTTTTTAAAAATATTGAACTTGTCAGTGTACATCTGTTGCATTTCTCCTTTTTGCTTGCCAGGTTTCGGTGGAACAACATGTCTCGCCTAGAGAAGGTGTTTCTAAAGAACAATGTTATGGGGCTGATATCAAGTGTAAGTAATGAGTAGTTGGAGAACTTCTGCTAAGGGTAGATTAGGCTGAGGTGCTGCTTTTTAAAAAATGTTTGGGGAATATGATGTGAACTTTTTGTGTAATAACCAGTTCCACAGAAATCAGATAATATTGTGGGGATTTTACAGTGCCATTGGGGAGGGGAGGGAGGGGAGACAGTGGTGTTTCGGTTCCAAAAAGGAAGATGGTCCTGCCTGTGGTTTTTATGTAGTGAAATAATGATTTTAAGCAGAGTGGTCCCTTATAAAAACTATATTTTTTCCAAATTGCTGTGAATGTGTAAAATATTCTGTTTCTTAAGCTGAATTCAAAAAGTGCTTCATAAATTTCATTCAAAGGGCTACCTATGGGGCAGCTAGGTGGTGCAGTGGATAGAGTACCAGACCTGGATTCAGGAGGACCTGAGTTCAAATCTGGCCTCAGACATATAACACTTACTAGCTGTGTGACCCTGGGCAACTCACTTAACCCCATTGCGCCTAGCCAAAAAAAAAAAAGACTACCTGCATAAATGTTTCAAGCACAATTTAAGTGTTTTGTCATTATCTTATACATCAGCTTCTTTAAATGGTCATTTCTTGGTGTCTGAGCTTTTGAGATCTGACTTAGAATGCAAGGCACCCATTTTTCTGCTTTCTTTCTTTTACTATTACACTAATAGTTTACACTGTGCAAGGTGTTTGTGTTGGTAGACACAACCAAAAGTTCGAAGTTTTGACCAAAACCTTGGGAAAAATGCTTCCTAGCTCTTTTGTCCACAAATTATTTTCATCCTTGTTAGTGAAAATTCTTACTTGGATTGCAGTTTCTCTAGTTTAAGATATAAACAACCTAAATCTCAATTAAGTAGTTTTGGCTGGGTAGGGGTATTGATGAAGTACTATATTTCAAGCCACAAATCTTATATCTTGTTTCCCAGCTTACTCGTTTTTATGGTGTCCTCACCTCCTATCTACATACTTTCAGTCTCTTTGCTGCCTCCCCAAAACAGAAGGGAAGAAGTATGAGTAGAAATTCTATTATATTTAGATAAAGAGAAGCATCAAATCGTCCTGGCTTTGAGTACCAGCTATTATTTGTTGAACTATCACGTGAATTTATAAGAAGAGGTAATGGCATAACTATAGAATTAATTCTTCAAACACTTTGGACAGCTGTGTTCTTATACTTGTTTAAAAGTAGCGCAGCTTCTATGTTTTCTGTGTTCTTAATGTCTAGCCATGTTTCTAAAACAGACTTTATGTATGTATTGGTTCTCTTTCAGGGGACTCAAAATATTTTGGAGGAAGAAAGCCACATTAAAGATGTTTTGTCTAGAATTGTGGTGGAAATGATTAAGCGGGAATGGCCACAGCATTGGCCCGACATGTTGAAAGAATTGGACACCCTCTCTAAACAAGGGGTAGGAAGCATGACATACATTTGTTTCTTAGTGCCTGGAAGGTCTTCTTTGAAAGCGACTACAATTCATTTGAATTTGTAGAATGAAGCATGTGATTAATTTATTAAATTAGTCTGTTATATTTTCTCCAAAACTTCACACTAGTACTAGTAGATAGCTAAAAGAAATCCCGTTTCAGTCAAACTTACCTGATTAATATTCATTGGTATAGGAAACACAGACAGAACTAGTGATGTTCATCCTTCTGCGACTGGCAGAGGATGTGGTGACTTTTCAAACACTACCCCCTCAAAGAAGAAGGGACATCCAGCAAACACTAACCCAGAACATGGAAAAGATCTTCAGCTTTCTGCTTAATACCCTTCAACAGAACGTGAACAAATATCGGCGAATGGTAAGAGGAGTCCCCTTTTTCCAGAGATGCAGCAAATGAAAAGGTCTTAATTGTTCAGGTGGGAAAACATTTCTGGATATAGTCTTCAAGGATGGATAAGAAAAGAAAAAGCCTTTGCACTAAGGCAAAATACGTTGGCTGGTAGATGTGTCTCAGGCAAAGTAGTTTAGTGGGCAGAATCTATTTTGAGTTTGGAGGACCTGGGTTTGAATTCTGCCTCAGAAACTTAGTAGTTCTATGGCCCTCAGGAAGTCACTTAACCTCTCTGGGTCTCAGTTTCTTCATTTGTGAAATGAGGAGGTTGGTTCAGTGATGTCAAAAGTTTCTTCCAGCTCTAAATCTACAGTTTTATGAACTGGAAATGACTTTCTTAAAATTTAGTGCCCAAACTACAAGATTGACAAGGAAAGGGATCCATTACCTTTTCAGTAAGGAATCCTGGATTTTGCTGTAATTCCAAAAACGATTAAGTACCTATTCTATGCAAAACACTGTACTGTTAATTAGACATCTGATATTTGGTTTGCATTTTAATATTTACAAAGTCCATCATTTGACAGTGAGAAGTAGTATGCTCATCAAATTGGTATCTCATTAATCCCAGTCATTTGGTCGCTTTGAATTCTTTCAAGGAGTAGAAAAACTGTTGAGCCCAGTGTTAGTCTTTGTTATCACATTGCCTGGCACTGCTATTTCTCTTGTTGAGACTTCAACTCTTCAGAGAGGGGCAAGTTCAATATTGTCTTCTCATTAATCCCTGTAGGTGATTTTAGTGAGAAGAGGCATTTTGATTCCCCAGTTTCTAGAACTCAAAAATATTCCATATAAGAGGAGAATTTTAGTTCTTTCCTATAGCAGCGTGAAACTCTAGTGCTGTTAGCCATTTGATTAAGTGTAAGAGCAGATGGGAAGAGGAGTAAGCATTTAGCTAAGCACCTTAAAAATATCTTATTTAATTTCCAGATACCTTGGACTGTAAGCTACATTAAAGCTTTTGTTTGTTATTTGAGGCATTTGGGGTTAAGTAACTTGCCCAGGGTCACATAGCTAGTTAAGTGTATGAGTCCAAATTTGAACTTGAGTCCTCCTAACTTCAGGGCCAGTACTCTATTCATTGCACCTCCTAGCTGCCTCCACTAATGGTTTTAAAGGAAAAGGTCAGAGAAAACTTTATTTTAAGATGGGTGGCCCTATTTTTTCTATTTTCTCAGGCTTAGCCCACTGATAGAATGGGAATGATGAGGTTTGTTGACTGAATATTCCTTGGAGATTAGCCAACTTTCTAAGAAAGCATAAATTAGTATGACTTTTTGCTATAAAATTGAACTAGTAGCCTATAGTGAACTATGAATATAGGCTTATTTTGTTCCTAGGGGAGAAGTTTTATTTGTAGCCTGAGAAGTATAATCAGGTGGTGTGGCTTAATGGATATTTTTCAACTGGTAGTGGAATCCTTTTGGTTGAATAAATTGGTACACCGTAAAAAAGAAGGTATTTCAGCTCTACAAATGTATAGTCTCCGAGCATTATCTGGAAGTTATTTATGTTCACTGCATTGTTCTGTTATGCTAACAACAGGCAGGGGTAATTTTAGGGATGAATTTGGTAGCAAGTTAACAGGTATTTATTAAGTGCTTATTATGTGCCAGGCGCTGTGCTGAGCAACGGAAATACAAATAGAAAGAAAGATAATCATTGCCCTCAAGGAGGTTACATTCTAATGAAGGAAAAGTATGGGTAAAAGGAAGTTGCAAAGGTGAGGAGAGAAGAGGATGGTGGAGGAAGTCCTGAGTGGACCCTGGAGAGAGTAATGAGACTTGGCTGACTGGAGACTTAGGGAACAGCCATCCAATCAGGAGCAGAGAATACTTACAGTGTGTGAATTCTAGGGCCAGAGTGAGACTTCAAGATGAAGAGCTGGGGCAAGGTAGAGGAATTCCCTGAGTACAGAATTGTTTCATTTTAAATGAGGGTAGCCTGCAGTTTTAAGAGAGAGGCTTTCCAGACAAAAATTAGATTTAAAATATATTCTCCAGGTGTAAGCTACTTCACCTTCCAACTTCAGTGTTGTTGTTCGGCTTTGGCCAGTGGTTTTCAGACATTCTGAGGTTGTGGATACTTCTTTTTGGGTTTACCTTTTCCAGAATTACAGTCCCTAGTTTTGTGGTTGAGCAAGACTGACAGATGATAGATTGGAACATCAGATAGAGTAGGAGGCAGAGGCAGCTTAGTAGTGTGGATGGATCTCTAGGCTTTTGGTCAGGATGCTCTGGATTCTAATCTGGCCTCAGACACTTATTAGCTGTGTGACCCTGGGCAAGTCATGTGTCTTAGTTTTTCTTGTTTGAGTGGGTTGGACTTGATGATCTAGAGGGTCTCTTCCAGTTCTAAATTTATGATCCTAGTATTTTTGTGCCTTCCATTTAAATTTCTTCATCCTCTAAGGCTTTTACTTGAATGTTGTGCCCCAGCAATTCCAAGGCATACGTTTGGAACATTGCAATTCACTCAAACTTTGTTCCCACTTACAGATTTTGACAATTCTCAGATATTGGAGAATAATGCTTAGGACAATGCCTGGTACAAAGTGGGTGCTTAATAAATAATTAAAGATGAGATGAGCAGGCACAAGCATCATACTCTGTCATTCTTACTCTTACCCCGGTACCCAAGAGACCTGAAGAATCAGAGTTGAAATAGTAGAAATGCAGCAAGGGAGAAGTTAGGGGTGGTACTTTGACTTGATCCATTATGTTATCACCTTTCTAGTTTTCATGCAGTATTTATATTCCCATAGTGAAAGGAACATGCTTCTTATTCTCATTACATTTCTGTTTTATTAAAGTAATTGTGTGGGGTAGCTGTGTGGCAAAGTAGGTAGAGCACTGGGCCTAGAATCAGAAGACTCATCTATGAGTTCAAATCCACCTCAGACACTTTACTAGCTGTGTGACCCTGGGCAGGCCACTTAATCCTGTTTGCCTCAGTTTCATCATCTGTGAAATGAGCTGTAGAAGGAAATGGCAAACCACTCCAGTATCTTTGCCAGGAAAACCCATGATGGGATCACCAAGAGTGGGACTTGACTGAAACAACCAAACAACAACAAAGTAATTGCTGATGAAAGGTTTTGAAAGGGTTCTTTACTGAGAAAATAGAAGCCATCTGACATGAGGTTTTTCTTTTCCCCTGTTCTACAACTGGGACCTTCTCAACCTCCTATTCTCCCTTGCATTGTTCCAGTTTTTGATTGAAGTGACCCTTAGCAAAAGCCAAGACTTTGATCCTAATTCTACTTGCCACTTAAGTCATCCTATCCTGTCTTGCTAATCTTGAATCTGTTTTTGTGTAATACCTACACACTTGGAGGTCCTCCAACTTAAAAAACAAAAAATGGAAAAAAACCTTCACTTGACCCTGCCTTTCCTTTGAGCTGTTGTCACATATATTCACATCCATACCCCTTAAATGAATATAGTTATACTTATAGTCTGCACTTCCTTTTCTCCCATTCATTTCTTATCCCCTTACAGTCTGATTTCAGACTTCAGTGTTCATCTGAAAATGCTCTCTCCAAAACCAGCCATCTCTTGATTGCTAAGTCTAATAGACTTTTCTCAGTCTTCATGCTTCATAACATCCCTGCAGCTTTTGGCACTGTTGATGACCAGCCCTCCAGGAAGGTCTCCAGGCTTAGATTTTTTTTTTTTACATTGTTATTGCCTGGTTCTTCTCCCTCTCTGATTTCTTCTCATTCTCCTTTGCTGGACGCTCACCTATTTCCTGCCCCCTTAGGTATTCTCTAAGACTCAGTCCTGGGTCCTTTTCTCTCCATCCACTTTTAGTGATTGCATCAGATCTCATGAGGTCATTCATCTCTATGCGGACAAATCCTAAATCTATATATCTAGGTTTAATCTCTTCTGATCTATAGTCCTTTATTACCAAGTTTATGCTGTGTAACTCTGTTAGGGGTGTCAGTGTCCACAACTCAAATTTAACATATCCAAAATAGAATTCATTATCTTCCTCCTTTCCCCACCTCAGCTTGTACTTCCTTCAAACTTTCTTGTTTCTGCTGAGAGCACCATGATCCATCTAGTCACCCAAGAGTACAGATTCTCTCTCACCTTTTATATCCACTCATTTGTGAAGTCATATCAATCCTATTGGTACAACATCTCCCCGATCCTTCCCTTCTCTCCACTCAAATGACTCCTAGCTAACTCAGGCCTGGAAGCCATCATCATGCCTGAACCACAGTAACTATCTCTTAACTGGGCTTTTATTCTGTAGTTTTTCTACCCAATTCATCTTCCACACAGCTGCCCAAGTAATATTCTGAAAGTCTCCCTTACTTAAAAGTCTTCAGTGGCCTTTAAAATAAAATAAAAATTCCTAAGCTTAGTATTTAAAGTGCTTCATAATCTGGCTCTAGATCACCTTTTTCTTTATTCTCATAATTCTTTTTTAAAATTCAATTTTATTTTCAGTTCCTAATTATCTCTTCCCCATCCTCTCCCTCTGCTTACTGAGAAGGCAAGAAAAACAAAACCCATTACAAATATGTGTGGTTACTCAAAACAAATTCTCACATTATCCATGAACAAAAAAAGAAAATATGCTTCAGTCTGCACTCTTGAGTCCATCAGCTCTGTATCAGAAGGTAGATGTCATGTTTCATAAGTCTTTTGAGGTTGTGGTTAGTCATGTTGATCAGTGTTCTAAGTGTTTCAAAGTTGATTATCTTTACAATGTTGCTGTTGTGCAAATTTTTCTCCTGGTTCTGCTCACTTCACTCTGTATCAGTTTATACAAGACTTCCAGGTTTTTCTGAAGCCATCTCCTTCATTGTTTCTTACTGCACAGTAGTATTCCATCACATTCATATACCATAACTTATTGGGCGATTTCTCAATTGATTTTCAGCTCAGCAGTTTCCAATTCTTTGCTACCACAAAAAAGAGGTGCTATAAATATTTTTGTACATGTGGGTCCTTTACCTCCTTCTTTGATTTCTTTGGGGCATAAAACTAATATTGTGATTGTTCAGCCAAAGGATATATACAGTTTAATAGCTTTATGGGCATAGTTCCACATTTCAGTCCTCCTTTTCCCATGCTTATATCATGTTGCTTCACTTCATGTACTCTGCTTGTCAGCCAAACTGTCCTGTTTGCCATTCCCTTAACTTAGCAGTCTCTCTTCCACCTCCATGCCTTTGGAGAGTCCCCCCCCCCCCATCCAATGCATTCCCTTCCTACCTAACTCTCAAAGTCCCTGGCTTCCCTCAGGATTAAGTTCATTTGTTAGCATCTACCTTTTTGACATTTTTTTTTCCTGAACTTGAACAAACATTATGTAAAATGAGCCACTTCCATTTATGTTGTAAAGGAAATGAGGATTGTACATGAAATTTTAGGTCTCTTATGTTGAGCTTGCTTTTTTTTTTTAAGAATATAATAAAACCATCATGTAACTTTTCAAAGCTGTCCTGGTTGCTTATAATACCCTCAGGCCTTCTTTTCATTATCTTTTTTAAAAGGGAGAAACCCTGAAAATTCTTTGCCTCCCATTCCTTTCATCCCCATTGGAAAAAAATAAAAAAACAAAAACTTTGCAGCAAAATTACATAGTCAAGCAAAATAAATCCCCTCTTTGGCCATATCATTAAAAAAAAAAGTATGTCTTATTCAGCATCCTGAGTACATCTCATTTCTTTTTTGTTTTTTGCTGAGGCAATAGGGGTTAAGTGACTTGCCCAGGGTCACACAGCTAGAAAGTGTCTGAGGCCACATTTGAACTCGGGTCCTCCCAACTCCAAGGCTGGAGGTCTCTCCACTATGCCACCTCGATTCTCCAAAGATAGAATTTTGTTTTGTTTTAGATGAGGCAGTTGGGGTTGTGACTTGCCAGGAGTCACACAGCTAATGAGTGTTACGTGTCTGAGGCTGGATTTGAACTCGAATCCTCCTGACTCCAGGGCCGATGCTCTGTCCACTGTGCTGCGTAGCTGCCCATTTCTGTCTGAATATTGTCTACTTTTCCTGTGTTGACTTTTCTTAAACCCCTCGTTCTTTATGTTTGCTCTAATCAAATCATCTTGGATTTGCTTACCTGTTTTTTTCTTTGTATTGCCCAGTAATCTTCTTGAGAGTGGGGACTGTTTTTCATTTCTATCTTTGTATCCCCATAGCCAAACAGAGTGTTTTTCATATGTGTTTAGTAAATGTTTACATGGTTTGTATTAGCTCATAGAGTTAGAAGTAAGTGACATCTTTTTTAAAATTGCAGAATATTTAGCTGAAGAAAAATTCATGATGAAATGAAATTTATCCTTCTGTAATAAACAATTAAAAATTCAGATTTTTGCTGACTTAATTTATTTACAGTATCAATTTGTACACAATTATTAATTGAGCTTGTTTTAGAAGTTACCATAATCTAGTCCATTTTTGCTTCTAATTTTCTCCAAGAGATACTATTTCAGAGGGGTGTTATTCTGAAGGATGAAGAATAAGACGTATTAAATAAATTTTAAATCTCTATTCCAAGATTTCTCAAAGGTGTGTCTTCACCTTTTGGATTGGGGAAATGGGAAAGAATATTACATAATCATTTACTCTGATGAACTGGATCCTTATTCTTTTTTTTTTTCCCCTCTCCTCAGAAAACAGGTACTTCACAGGAGCCAAAGGTAAGGAATGTAGAATGTTAGGAAACAGCTCATAGCTTATAGCAAAACTCTTTAGTATTTACATTTATAGGTAATACTTAAAAGTGTTTTTAAGTAATGGAGGCCATGGTGTTTCTGCAGTGTCCCTGGCCAGTTATTTGGCTGTGTGTGTCAGAAGTAAATCACACAAATCTCTGCTTCTTTAGTCTTAGATAAAAGTATGTTACTTGGTATTTGTTGAGAAAACAGATTTGTTTACAGTAATTATTGATAGGAATTTATAGACTGAAGTGACTGTATTTGAGGAAGAAACGTTCTAAGTTCCTTGCTGTATGGATGCTACAACTATTAGAAATGAAAAGAATCATCTTTTTCAAGTAAAATTTGAAATAGAGAGTCAGCTGTAAATAAGGTTTATCTATCTTTCACCTCTGATCCTTCAGTTTAGCCAACATTAATTAAGCTTCTACTCCAGACCTGCATAACCTGTTAGCTTCTTTGGACAGTAGATAGGTTAGACTAGAGACAGACTGATGATGGTTGGTTGCCATGAGTCACGTGACAAACAGTGCAAAGTAGCTGCCTAAAGTCCTTTGGTGGCTGAGTGTTGTGCAGGCCTAATCTAATCTGTGCAAGGAAGTTACTGTGTACTACAAAGATGAAAAATTCAGCTCCAAAGAGCATACAGTAAGAATATTATATGCATGCATTTAAGTATGTAATGTGTTCACAATAAGGTATAGTGTGATAAAAACAAAAGAATTTCAGATAAAATAATCTGGAATATGAGAGGGAAAGAACCCTTTTAGCTGAGGAGCACAATTACATCTACATATTTATCTGCCCATTTAGGCCCAGGCTAACTGCAGGGTAGGGATAGCAGCACTCAACACCCTGGCAGGCTACATTGACTGGGTGGCCATGAACCACATTACAGCTGAAAACTGCAAACTGCTAGAGATGCTGTGCTTGCTTCTGAACGAACCTGAACTTCAAGTAGGAGCTGCTGAATGTCTCCTAATTGCAGTCAGCAGGAAGGTATGTTGTTTCCTAGTTAACAGATGTTTTCTTAGTCATTTATTATGCCCAGGATGCTGTACTGGTTACTGGGACTGCAGTGATGAACTAAAGTAGGCTTTGCCCTCAAGGAACTTACAGTAACCTAATAGGTCACATAAGGTATGTATATAAAAAATATAAAGAATAATTATTCTAATATAATTTCAAAGGAGGTTAGAACTAAGTTCTATGGGAGACTCAAGTAGGGTGAGATATTTTTTCAGATGGGGGTAAAGATATAGAAGAGACTTATGAAGGAAATGTCAACTAAGCTTAGCCTTGAAAGAAGGGAGAGGTTTCAGAAGAAGGAAATGAGGAGAAAGGGACAATGAGGACAGAGAGATGTCTGTTTTAGTCATGGTAAAAACAAAAGGATACTGAAAAGCAGTAAATAATTCTATTAAGAATGCTGAGTGCAGGAAAAGAGAGGGTAGTGTGAGCCTAGAAAAGCAAATTTTGGAGGGCTATGAATAGCCAGGGTAGGCAGTTTGTACTTGATCTGTTAGGCAGTAAAAAGCTATTAAGTATTCTTAACAAAATGAAGTGATAAGAGCTATGCTTAAAAAGGTGGCAGTATAAAAGGTAGGTCAGAATTAGGAGAGACTGGAGTTGGGATGACCAGTTAGTCTCTTACTGACAATCCAGGCCAGAAATGAGGAGGACCTGAACTATAGGATGTTAGCAGTGGGAGTAGAAAGGAAGGGATTGATTTGAGAGATAAAATTGTTAGGTTTGGGCAATTGATTGGATGTGATTGAGAAGGACATTAAATATAACTACCCTGAGGTTGAATGACTAAAAAGGATGATGGTTTCATCAATAGAAGTAATAAAAAGTAGGTTTTGTAAGGAAGGTGAGTTCAGTTTTAGGTATATGATCTTGAGGTGTCTGTTGGACTTCAAGGTAGAAAAGCCCAACTAGCAAATAGAACTGTGGGATTGAGACTCTTAGCTCTAGAATGATAGAGGAGTTATCTGAATACAGGTGATAATTGAAACTATAGAGGTCAATATAATAACCCCAGGGAAAATTTATATAAAGAGAAAGATGGTCAAAGGCAAAGCCTTGGGGGAATAAATGTTCAAGGAGGCAAAGAGAAAAGACTTAGCAAAGGACATTGAATTAGTCTGATAGAGAATGGATGAGGAAAACTACATGGAGGACAGTAGCAGCATGAGAGCTTGCAGAGCAGCTTTCTATCATGCTCTACTCAGATACCCGCCTCCTACCCCAAAAAACATTCCAGTCTCACCTATACTCCTCTACCCCCAGGTAGAGGTACTCTATCCACAGAGGGCCCTTCTTCCCCCAAGTTCTTTGGAGTCCCAGGGACAAGCTAGGGTAGGTTGAGGGTGGAGTGCAAGCAGCCCTTGACCCTAGGTAGGTCCATGCTGCATAGCAGCACCCAGCTGTCCTAATGGCTACAGGAGTCCAGCTAGTGAGAGAAACCTCAGCATTCCAAGAGGGTCCAGCACAGCACTAGTGGGCTACCACCATAAATGACAGAATGACTTGGAATACAATTTTGCAAAAGACAAGTGATGAAGATTTACAACCAAGAATAGCCAATTCACCACAACTAAGTGTAATGCTACAGGAGAGGAAATGAACCTTTAATGGAATAGAGGATTTCGAAGCGTTCCTGATAAAAAGACTTGAACTGAATTGACATTTTCAAGTGGAAATGCTGCTGCCAAAAAGATACACATGTTTATGATGAATTGTTCCCATGTTAATAGGGGGATAAGGAAAAAGGAGAAATCCAGCCTAAGTAGTCCTTGAAATCTGTGTTTGAAACCCAGCATGGGATTAGCCCCTGAGCCCAGCAGCTAGGGGAAAGGATCCAGTCAGTATCAAGGCCCTAGAGTTTGGTGGAAAGAGGGCAGCTCCGGGCACAACTTAGTATTGGAATAGCCCCAGAGTCCCTTGAATGGGAGGGGCCTGTTGTACTCTGAAGCAAGGAAGCCCTGCTCATGCTATTCAGTTTCACAGCTTGATCAAAGTGCATCTCTGCCCTATCTCATCCTTTCCCTAACCCTCAAACTATATAGTGAGGTGAAATGAGTAAATCATGGAAACTCTGAATACCATGAGAAAATGCATTGGAGAAGATGGCCAGAAATAAATCCTGAGTAGTATAGCTACCTCAAGTCCAGGTAAAATCTTCTAGAGGGGAAATTGTCCCAACCATAGGAAATGCAGGAGTACTTTGAAGATATGAATGAAATAAAATAACAAGAGAAAAAGAGTGGAAAGGATGGCAAGGACACCTTTAGAACAGATGGTGGAAAATCTTACCAAAAAACTGAATGCCCTGAAATGGGACAGACAGTATACAACTCAATGAGACAATAAGAAATAAAGCAGAGGCAGCTAGGTGTCACAGTGGATAGAGCGCCGGCCCTGAAGTCAGGAGTACCTGAGTTCAAATTTGGCCTCAGACCAAACACTTGACACCTACTAACTGTGACCCTGGGCAAATCATTTAACCCCAATTGCCTAAAAAAATAAAAAGCAAAAAAAAAAAAAAAGCAAAATTTTAAAACAGAAAAAAATTATCAGACTTTCTGAAAAACACCATCAAAAAAGGAAAGTCTGTATACCATATTATAAGAAATTACAAATGAAAACTGCCCAGAACTCTTAGTACCAGAGGGCAAAGTAAAGATAGAATATACCAAGTCAGATGAACAGTCCCAGGAATATCATAGCCAAAATAGCTTCCAGGGCAAAGAAAAAAAAATAAAGCCAAAAAATGGTGTTAAAATACCAACAAGCCATGATAAGGATCACATCAGATTTAGTAGCTGCCCACATTAATGACACGATAGCTTGGACTACAGTATTGCAAAAGTAAAAGTGATGAGGGTTTACAACAAAGAATATCCTATTCAGCAAAACTAAGTGTGATGCTACAGGGAAGGAAATAAGCCTTTAACGGAATAGAAGATTTCCAAGCAGTCTTGATAAAAAGACCTGAACTGAGTTGACATTTTCAAATGGAAATGCAGCTACCTGGAGAAACTAAAAAGGTACATGTTTTTATGTTGAATTGTTCACATGTTGATAGAGGGATAAGAAACAAAAGTCTTCTCAGAACTCTGATATCTTTAAGGGTCAGAGAAAAGATTGAAAATAACAGATGGCCTATAGATGATTTTGTTCTTACAAGAAGACAAAAATGAAAAGTATAAGGAACTATACTGGAGAGGAAAAGAGGAAGGGAAGAGAAATCACTATTGCATAATAAAAGTGCAGACAATGAAAAGTTTGTGGTTATAGAGCTAGGGATAGGAAGGTACCAGCATCTTTTATCTGAACCAAACAAAGGAAGGTAGAACACAACTACACACTTTTGCATGCACACCCTGTTCAGTATACAAATGCATTAAATTCAGAAGGGAAACATGGATGAAGGAGGGATAGAGAAAGGGGTCTAAGAGGAAGGATTAGATAGGTAAGGGAATAGTTAAAATGAAACTTGAATATTGGAGAAGAACGTGAAGCTTGGGGATTAAAAGAAAATCAAGTAAAACTCTGGCATCAGGTAGGGCAAGGAGAAGAAGAGTTAGAATAGAGAAAAGGGTTGTTTCACATAAAAGATCACAAGTATCAGAAAAACTTTTTGCCGCCATGTAAAGAGTGAAGTAAGAGCAAAGAGGATAGAATGGTAAGAAATACACAATTAACAGTCATTTGTGAATGGGATGAATTCACCTATAAAATTTAAGAAAGCAGAATGAACTATAAAAAGCAGGATCTTAACAATGTTTGCCAAAAATATAAATGAAGTACGAAGAGCAAATGTTGTAGAAATGTTAGGGTTTTTTGGTTTTGTTTTAGTAAGTTTGGAATAAAGCCAGGAGTCCATTTTCACTACTATTTCATAGTGCTAGAAATGATAGTTATTAACAGTAAGACAGGAAAAAAGAAATTAAGATTGATAAAGGCAAAGAGGTAACAAAACTCGCCTTTTGCAAATACAATTATTTAGAAAGCCCTAATAGTAACCAAGAAATTGAAATGACAAATTGAAATTGAAACAACATATCCACATAAAATTAGCAGTATTTCTTTGTGTTAGCAAGAAAACCCAGCAGGAAGTTAAAAAGTGAAACTCCACTTAAAATAACTACAGAAGCTATAAAATAGTTGGAAGTGTATATAAAATGCATTAAATTAAATAGTTGGAAGTGTATATAAAATGTATTATATTAAATTAAACTAGAAAATATTTTGCAGAAATGAAGACCTAAATAATTAGAGAAGCATTAATTGCTCCCGAGGTCAAGTCAATATAATAAAGATGACCCTACTGCCTTTTTTAATTTACTTTTTCAGTGCAGTGTCAATTAAACAGGAATATTTTATTTACCTAGGAGAAAATCATAGTGAAATTCATAAAAAGAAATATCATCTCAGGAATCACAAGATAATGATGGATTTTTTTAAAAAAGGTGAAAGTGGGGAAGGGTTTTCAGTACTAAATTTCAAACTACTACAAAGCAGTAATCACTAAAACAATTTGATGTTGGTTAAAAAAAATAAGAGGTAGATCAGTGGAACAGATTAGGTAAAAATCGTACAGAAACAAATACAGGAACATATTATTTGTTCAATTCAGAGACCCCAGTTATTGGAGAAAAGACTGAACTGTTTAACAGAAACTATTGGGGAAACTGGATAGCAGTCTGGCAGCAATTAAGTATAGACCAGTATCTCCCTGTAAACCAAAATAAGCTTCAAATGAATACATGACCTAGATATAAAAGGTCATATAACAGATTAGTGGAAGCAAGAAAAACCTATTAGGGAAAGAGTTCATGACTCAGCAAGTGATAGGATCACACAATATAAAATGGATTATTTTGATCATATAAAACTTAGGTTTTTTAGGACATCTAAGTGTAGCAAAAATTAGAAGGGAAACATAGCTGGGAAAAATATTTTGCAATAGATTTCTCCAAGTTATATTAGAG